TACCCGTGGTGTATTAGATATGCCAAACAGTAATAACAGGTCTCACAAGAGACGTTACTGGGCCCGCTCTAGCAAATCGATGAACAACGGGAAGACAGTGACAGTGACACTAATCTTCAGAATGACCAAGAACTCTACGCCTCAGTTAGGAATGAAGTCACACAGAGCAAGCAGTAATGCAGGGATTGGGTAGCTAGTACAGTGGGGAAGGCGCTTGTCTTGCATGCTGCTGACCCAGGTTTGGTCCCTGGCATCTCATAGGGCTCCTCCGAGCTCCTCTAGAGTGAGCCCTAAACACAGAGCCAGGAAGAAGTCCTGAGCACTGCCAGGTGTGACCCTCTGAAAACAAAACAACCAGTGTTCCAATGACAATTTTTATTCCATTTCCTTAACTTGCGCAGATGTTGCACGCTCCTTTCATCAGTTTTAATTTTTTGTTTTTGTTTCACTTGGGGGCCACCCCTGGAGTGGCTCAGGGATTTACACCTGGCTCTGCACTTACAAATCACTCCTGGTGATGCTCAGGAACCATATGGGAAGCCGGGAATCGAACCTGCCATGTGAAGTGGCTCTACCTGCTGGACTATCACTCCAGGTCAGTTCCTACTTTTCAAATGACTTCATTTGTGGCATTCTGACACTACAAACTACAAAGAACTGCCAGTCACTTGAGTTCTCCATCTAGATTCATGATTACATTTTGGGATCCTCGGAGCTCAGAAGTGAGGCAATCCACGCAGGCGGGAAGCTGTCCCCCACTTCCTGGCAGACACACACCCACAGGCTGAGGGAGTAGCAGAAGTTTCTTCCGCTTCTTCTCTGCCCCTTCTTCACATCCTGCCAAGCCACCCTCCATCTCTGAGCTTCTCTTGGATTTGGTAATATGTTCGGGTGAGTGTTCCTGCAGCCGACATGTTTCAGGGGAGTTAGCTCAATAAACCCGACAGACCAAAACACAAGAAGGAGAAACCTCTGGCTCTGTGGCATGGAAAACATGCCCAGGACTATACAAAAGCAGCCTGTGAATGAATGCAGGAGAACTAGAGACTCACTGAGGTAACCGGAAGAGGCAAGTACTTCCTGGACAACCCAGTCTCGGTAGTTCTAGAAAGATCGGTAGAGCTCCCTCTGCATTTCAGTTTCCACTGAGGGAGAGGAGTTGATATCCTTTTTTTCTGATGAAATTCTTTTTTGGGGGGTAGGGGGTCACACCCGGCGATACATAGGGGTTACTCCTGGCTCTGCACTCAGGAGTTTCTCCTGGCAGTGCTCAGGGTACCATATGGGATGCTGGGAATCGAACCCGGGTCTGCCGCGTGCAAGGCAAACGCCCTACCCGCTGTGCTATCTCTCCAGCCCCTCTGATGAAATTCTTAAAGGTAAACTTTCTTTAATAATACAGACACATTTCACATCACTGTAGTAGAAAACATAGCACCAAAAGTAGAAATGGTGTATTTGTTAATAGAGCTCATTTCATGGTTACGTTGTGTCCAAAGTAGGAAAGGAAACACTTTGTTAGTTTTTTTTTTAATTATTAAGGTTATTTGATGTGTCAGGAATGTTTTGGCGTGTGTGTGTGTGTGTGTGTGTGTGTGTGTGGTGTGTGTGTGTGAGAGAGAGAGAGAGTGTGTGTGTGTGTAGATAGACTCTTGATGCTTCCACAAAGCAAAACATGTGCTCCAGCCCTCTTAGCCAGCAACAGAATTTTACCAATTTTTTTTCTATTAAATCCCATGAGGAGATTTAGTGTGTTGGTATTGTCAGGGAAATGCCACAGAGTTACTTCTTTTCTGAGCTTATGTCCTTCCTCCTCCTCCCCTCCAGTGCGGTGGTTCATAACATTGCTATGGTGACGGCGGTACCAGCTAGCTAATTCTTAGTGCGAGGCTCACCACTGTCGGGTTGCAAAGTTTGCACCATCGGGCAGTGGCTCCAGGTTTGCAAGTGCAAATAGTTGTCTTCAATTATTTCCTTATAGCTCAATCTCAAATTGTTTCTTAGACAAAGTATAGCCAAGGACAAAGACTGCCTGTTGTGCCCACCCCTCCCCCGATAAGGAGCAAAGGAGGGCGAGAGAGAAGTGAGAACTTCAGAGGGTGGAAAGGATATGTGCAAAACCGCAAAGGGGTGATGGCAGAGTGACAGCACAGTGGGGAGGGCGCTTGCGTGTAGATCATCTCCGAGGCTCCCGGGAGGGATTTCTGAGTGTAGAAGATTCAGGACTAACCCCTGAGCACTAAAACCCAAAAACAATACATGAGGGGGATGTATCTTCCATTAAAAAACAGAAATGAGCTGAATCCTTACTTAGAGGCTGTCAGGTGTAAAGGCTACAGAACTGGTCCAGAATAAGTTCTGAGGGTGGAGTGTCTTGCTGCAGAGGCAAGCAGTTTACAATCTAGGGCGCTGGATGCTTAAGAGCAGATTAGGATTTAGGCAGGTTCTGAGCCTGCAGGTCCTTCAGATAATCAGATTAAAAGCACAGGCAAGGGCCTGGAGCAGTGGGGCGTCTGTGTTACCTATGAGCAAGGCCCTGGGTTTGACCTCAGCTGAAAAAAAATCCTTCTTCTCCTCCCCCCAACCCCCCCCCCCCCCAAAAAAAAGGCACCACCCATGAGGGCTGGTGGTTCACTGTAAAGGTCCAGGGATACTTGCTCTGTGGGATTGGGGAAACCCTGGCTACCGAGCCTTGCTGGGGACACTCAGGCCTTCACCTAGAGGTACTGGGGCTGGATGAGGCAGATGCATGAGTCTGGGTATCAGATCAGTCAGGGCAGGCCAGGCATGTGGTTTCACGACTGTGCCATTTGCCATCTGCCTTTGTTTGGAGGGTTTGGGGGTCACATCTGATGGTGGCTCGGGGGACCTTATGTGGTGCCTGGGATGGAATAGGGGTGGCCACTTGCAACGCAAATGCTTTAACCTTAAACTATCTCTCTGGCCCTCATTTGTCCTCTTTCTCTTTCTTCCTTCCTTTCTTTCTTTCTTTCTTTCTTTCTTTCTTTCTTTCTTTCTTTCTTTCTTCTTTCCATCCTTCCTTTATTTTTATATTTCTTTCTTTAAGTTGTGGTATCCATTTGCTTACATAAGGGTATAAATGTTTAGGGCTGAAACTACAGCAAGTAGGGTATTTTACATTGCATGCAGCTGACCTGGGTTCCATCCCTGGCATTCCATATGGTCCTCTGAGCCAGCCAGGAGTTATTCCTTAGTACATAGCCAGAAGTATCCCCTAAGCACCATGGGTGTTCCCCGCCCCCAGAATAAAAGAGTACATATGTTTGTATATTTTAGGGACACAGTGTTGTTATATGCAGCACCTGAGGGCTAATATCTGTCCACCACTCTTCACTGGACCCTTTTTCATGATGAACTGGAGGAGCACCTAGTACATGTTTGTTTGTTTGTTTGTTTTGGTCACACCTGGCGGTGCTCAGGGATTACTCCTGGCTCTGCAGTCAAGAATTACCGCTGGAGGGTTTGGGGGATCATATAGGATGCTGGGGCTCTCACCCAGTCAGTCACGTTCACGGAAAGTGCCTTACCCACTGTACTATCTCTTTATTCCTCATAGCCCCCAGTTTTATAGTTTGCTATTTAATAATCATCATTAGTGGAGCAGGTAGGGAGCTTGCCTTGCATGCGGGAGACCCAGGTTGGATCCCCAACCCCCCATATAGATCTCCTGTGCATGGCCAGGAGTAATTCCTGAGTGCAGAGCCGGAAGCAAACCCTGATCATTGTCGGTTGTAACTCAAAAATTTTAAAAAATTAATATGGTCTTTAACTACAAAGAATTTACGCAGTGTAACAGCCTCATTGGGAGAGATGGCGAAAACATAAAATCTGTTTTTAAAATTATTTATACGATCTGAAGAATTATTAAGGTCTAAAGCAGGTTCTATGTATATCAAGCCATTCATCAGTAACTTCCACTTCCCTTCTCTCTTTTAATTACCAACCTTACCCGATCCCCTTTTTCTATATTACCACACCAGAAAAATACACTTGTGGCACTGCATGGAAGGAAATGCACCCCAAGAACAACTGAGAGGTCAACTCGTTAGGGGACTGGACAGTTCCCTCCACCCCCACCAGCAGGCTGGCAGAACTTGGGCGAATTCCTTCTCAGGATGACCCCTTTCTCGACTTGAAGAGGGCTTTGGCACCTGAAGAGCCATACGCCTAACCTGTCCTCATCTCCTTGGGGTTCCTCATGGGCAGCTCTGCAAAGTGAGATCTTGCAGCCAAAGTCACACCTTACTAGAGATGGGCAGAAAGTTCAGGTTCCACTGAGTGCTGAAAATCAGTACCGATGTTGCAAACCATAAGGCCCAGAAGAAATGGAGAGTGAGAGAATGAAGAAAAGAAACGTGTGCCCTAGCGGCAGGTTGGAGTAAGGTGGGGCAGGTGGGGAGCGAGGGGGGAGGGATATTGGGGACAACGGTGGTGGGAAACACACCTGGTGGAGGGACAGGTGTTAGAACACTGTATGACTGAAACCCAATCATGAGCAACCTTGCTACTGGGAACACTGATGATGAGAAATGTACACTGGTGGAGGGACGGGTGTTGGAACACTATGACTCAAACCCAACACCATGACCAACTTTGTAACTGTATCTCTCACAGTGACTCAATTAAAAAATAAAGCAACAAAGGAAATGTTTTAAGCACGTAAAAGCAAGAACAGGCAAGCAAACACCAAAAAACAAAAAAAAAAAACTCCAAATAAAAACAAAGCTCAGGTTCCAGTCCAAGAAAAAGCAGCTGCCCTGAAGCAAGCGGGAGATGCCAGAACAGCGGGGGCGGGGGGGGGGGGGCGGGGGGGGGGAGGAGCCTGGCGCGCAGGCGCACTACGCCCTCCTGCCCCCCCGCCGGAGCCCCGAGGGCCGTGACGCCACTCCCTGCGCCGGGTGCGCTGACGTCATCGCGCGCGCGCCGTCGCTGGGCGGCGCTTCCGGCGGGGGCCGCGCCATCCTTCCGGCGGCGGGGCTCGCGCTGTCGACGGTGTCTGGACCGGGGCGGGTGGCCGGCGAGGCAGTTTGGGCCTTCGCTTCGCGGGGCGAGCGTGCGTGGCGGTGCAGGCGTGCGGCGGGGACCGGCCCATGCCCCACTCGCGGCCCGGGCCCCGGCGGGGCGCGGGCGAGGGCGCCGAGGCGGCCGGGCGCGACGAGCTGCTGTCGCGCTCGCTGCAGAGCGCCGAGCACTGCCTGGGCGCCCGCGACTTCGGCACGGCCTACGCCCACTACCTGCTGGTGCTCAGCCTGGCGCCCGAGCTCAAGGACGGCGTCAAGGTGAGCCCGGGACGCGGCCCGGCTGGGCACCCCCCCACCCCGCTCCCGCCGGGGAGCGGCTCCCCTCCCCCACGCCCCCCACCCCCGACCCAAAAAACGGTCCGCGGCCTCGGCGTTTGGAAAGTGCCCACGGGTGCAGCTCGTCCTGCCCGGAGAGGGGTGGGGAGGGCGACGAGTCCACTGTTGAGGGGCCTGGGAACGCCAGATAAGATGACTGACTGGCAAGGGTCTGATGGGCAGCGCCCCCTTGCGCCCCCCCCCCCCCCCCGCCCGGAGCCCGGCTTGCAGGAGAGAGACCCTTGATTGCATGTTGCGAACGACCCTTAGCACAGTTAATGTGTTGGCGATGGATGCGACAAGAGACTGGGGCCGAAGACGAACCCTAACGGGTTGGAGCGATGGTACAGCGGGTAGGGTGTTTGCCTGGCACGTGGCCGACCGGGGTTCGATTCCCAGCATCCCGTATGGTCCCCCTAGCATTCCTGTGCATCACTGGGTGTGACCCAGAAAGCAAAAACAAAAACAAAAAAAAAAACGCAAAGAAAAACACCTAACAGACCCTGGGGAAGGAGGAGTAGATACTGTGATTTTTAAAAAAATTTATATATACTTTTTTTTCTGTTTGGGGGCCAGGCCTGGCAGTGCTCAGGTCTTATTCCCGACTCTGAGCTTAGGGATGACTCCTGGTGGATCCAGGGGTACCATATGCGGTGCCAGGATAGAGCCCGGGTTGCTAGCCGCTGTACCATCTCTCCAGCCCTGGCGTTGTGATTTGGCAGTGAAGGATGGAGATAATTTTGATTGGGCAGACTGTCAAATTCTGCATGTTCTTGCCATGTAGGTGGTAGAAATAATTCACCGTGCATTTGCTTACTTAGTAAAGGGGTCTACTAAAGCTAAATAAAATTGAAGGTGAGCTCTTAGGTAAGTTCACTTTGTGGAATTTTTAACCAGCGTTGCATAGTTTTTCCATCGTTTCTGTTCCTGACTGACACATTGTTCTCTTGTAAAGGAAACCTTTCAGTACACGCTCTTCAGATGGGCTGAAGAGCTTGATGCTCTCAATCGGACTCAAGACTTGCTGGGTTGCTATGAGCAGGCCTTTGAACTATTCCCTGATGATGAAGTGATCTGCAATAGTATGGGGGAGCATCTTTTCAGGTTTGTAGTGTTTTCAGTATTGTCAAAAATTCTCTTAACTCTCTGAGGAGGGGCAGATGAGACTAATTTGAACAGAAAAATTTAATAAACTGTTAACTTTCACAGGATCATAGTAAGGAGGGATTGACTGGTAAGGAGAGTTAAAAAAAAAAACAACCCCACAGGAATAGCAGACAGGGGATGTTTCTCAGCAGCACAGCACTGGTCTGCATGTGTGGGACCCTGGGTTCAATTCCTGGTACTGCCAGGAGGCGGGGGGTAGATTTGAAGAGAGAGTCCAGGGGTTAAACTGCCTTGGCTTGTATGCTGCTGACCCAAGTTCGATCCCTGACACCACTTAGGGTCCTCTGAGTACCACTAAGTTAATCTCTGAGCAGTCAGAAGTACACCCTGAGTGCTGTCTGTTGTAGTTAAAAAACGAGTACTCTTCTGTGTGGATTAGTAGTTTTTCCTGCCTGCCTTTGTTGTTGATTCAGTCATATCGCTCTAATTTAGTTACCATTATTGGGTCATTGCCTTCCTAAAAAATTAAGAGGAAAAACCAAAGCGTTTAGCTTAGGTACTCTCTATAGTTGCGTTATCTATAATAGTTAAAGTCAGATGTGTCATATGACAGGCAGAAACTGGTCTAGCAACAAGTAGAGCTGACTTTTGAGCCCCACGGCGCACAGTTGCTGGGAGAAAAGGTGTTCCGGGAAGGCCGAGACGAGCCTCTGGCAGGCTGGTGACTTTGTTTCAGGCAGTGAGTGGTTTCTAGAAGGTGCCCGTATCCAGAGAGGGTGACTGTTCAGAGCTTTTGTGCATGCTCTAGCAGGATGGCAATACATAGTCAAGTACATTTATTTGTTTAGGTATTGTGGCCACAGTCAGCTGTGGTCAGGGCCTCTAGCTCTGTTCTTTGGGATCCTTCCTGCTGGTGCTGGGAGACCACATATGCTGGGGATTCAAAACAGGGTGGCCCATGCACGATGAACACCTTCCCTGCCTGCTGGCTCTGACCTTTCAGTCCGTTTCAAGTCCAAGAGTTTGTAAATGTTGTTGGGGCTCAGAAAAGAAAGAAGTGGTTGAAGATTGGGGTCTTCAAAAGAGGCTTCTTGATGCCAGAGCGATAGTACAGTGGGTAGGGCATTTGCCTTGCACGCAGCCGACCTGGGTTCAATCCCCAGTGTCCCACACAGTCCCCCAAGCACCGCCAGGAGTAATTCCTGAGTGCAGAGGCAGGAGTAGCCCCTGAGCATCTCCAGGTATGGCCCCTTCCCCCTCCCCTCAAAAAAGCAAAAAAACAAAAGAGGCTTCTTGAAGGAGGTAGCTCCTGGTTGAGTAAACTTGGGGTCTTGTTAGCAGGAATCAGAGTTGATCACGTTTAGTTGAATACTTTGTCTGTTTTTGCTTTAGAATGGGTTTCAGAGATGAAGCAGCCGGGTATTTCCATAAAGCAGTGAAGCTAAATCCTGATTTCAGTGATGCAAAGGAGAATTTTTATCGTGTTGCCAACTGGCTGGTCGAGCGCTGGCACTTCATCATGCTGAACGACACCAGGAGGAACACGGTGTATAATGCAGCCATCCGAAAGGCGGTTGGCTCGGGGGCTAGCAGCGTTTTGGACATTGGAGCAGGAACTGGAATATTAAGGTTTGCTGGACTTGTATCTTACATGTAACTAAGCAAATGCATGTGAACTAAGGCAAGTTTAACAGTGGACGTTTTAAAAAGCTTATTTCTTTTTATATCTTTATTTTACACCTTTCTATATCTTTTTGTAGTTACTGATTTACTGTTACCACCACTTAAAAAGAAATCGAACCCATGCCCTCACACATACAGAACAAACACTGTAGTGCTGAACTCTGTCCCAGTCCACAGCTATTATTATATTTGTTCATTGACTCTCACTAACCACAAAGTGAATGTAACTACTAAGGAAAGGTGTGGGCTATTATTGCGATGGTGAACACTAACTTTTGAGAGTGCTTCTTCGGTTAGGGGTTGGCAGAATGCTTGCATTAGTGTTCTCATCTCAGTGAAAGCTTGGCAGCTTTGTTTGTGACAGTGGTGAGTTCTTACTGGGGGGGCGGGGTGCCATTTTATCATATGCTTTGTTTTGTGATTAGGATATTAATATATTTCGTCTGCAGAATGAATAATTGTGTTAAAGGATAATAGGAAGAAAATGCACATTTAAGCAGCATTAATTCTACAAAATTTAGGGAAAATAGACATTTGGATTATTCTTGATGGAACACTTATTTTTAACTCTTGTAGCATGTTCGCTAAAAATGCTGGTGCACGCTCTGTGTATGCTTGTGAGTTATCCAAGACCATGTATGAACTTGCGTGCGATGTCATAGCAGCCAACAAGATGGAAGCAGAAATCAAACTCTTGCATATGAAATCGCTGGACATAGAAATTCCAAAACACATTCCTGAAAGGTATTATGTACACAAATCTCATATTTATTATCTACTACTGCATTTCTTAATGTTTTCACATTTCTAGCTTCCAGCTCAAGCAAAAATGTTAGAATTCTTATTGAGAAGACGGGTATTGACTAGTTTAGCATGAGACAGATTTTCCTTTTGAAAATACAGGTATGGGATAGTTTAGCACAAGGTAGGTTTTCATAAGTCTATACTAGATACAGAATTACAGATTTTGAAGAAATTTGTGGCAGGTAACTTGATAAGCCTGATCTTTAGCAAGTTATCTTGCCTTTGTTAATTTCTTGTGTGTGGTCAATAATAGTGAAAAATGGGTACTGAAAATAAAATTTGAGTAACTTGATGGGTGTAGCACTTTTTTGGTCAACATTCTAGGCCAGTCTTTACAGTGAAAGCTTTGGAAGTGTTGGCTGTCAGTGAATTTTGACCTGGACCTTCCAGACACTCAGAGTGTATTCAGTTTTTTACTCATAAATCTTGACATTTTAGTGTTATCTTATTTTGAGTGATATCACAAAGCTGATAGCAATTTTAGAGCTTGAAGGAATTTAAAAATCACTTGGGGGTCTGAATTCTGTCCCCAGCACCACCAGAGGTGGCCCTTGTAGATAAGGCAGAGGCCAGTGACTTAGCACTGGGGTCTGAGCAGAATGCACCTCGCCACACTTGCTCTGTTGGCTCTCCTGCTCAGTCTGCTTCCTCTTACTAACTGTTTAATGCAGTTCTTATTGAGAGAGGTGTTTTTTGTATTGTTGGCCTTTTAGAAAAGTCTCCTGTAATTATTTGTGTACATACTTAGGCTTTGTAGAGTTTCTGTATCTGTCCTGATGAAAGCCATCTCGTTTCATTATTGAGGCAGGTGGTGGTAGGTGCAGTGTTCTTCCGGCTTCACCGGCACCATAACAAATCCCATAGACTAAGGTGTCACTTTCTTGTAGTTGTGCGGGCCAGAGGTGCAGCATGTTTGCTCCCTGAGGGAGTTTGCCTCTCAGGTCCCTGGTCCCTGTCACCCGCCACCCCCCAGCACCTCTTGGTGCACCCTCGCGGGGGAAAAAAAAAATCAAGATCATAAGCCTCTTAGGAAGTAAAAGCTTTACGTAGACCATTTTTCATTTATCAGTTCAACTGACATTCAGAGTATGGATGAAAGATGTTGAATGTAGTACAGTCATAGTTTTTATTCTGACCTTCAGAAGCTTATTTAGAAATGTCACGGTGTTGAACCAGGTGATGACATACCATCCATATCATAAATGTATACAATTGGAAATAATGAACATTTTGTGTCTGTGTGGTTTAGGCATTGTAGGGAATACCAGCTTGTTTTCTGTCCCAAGGCACCTGCAATTACAGGAACAGAAGGGACATATGTGAAACATTTTCGTACCACGTGCATGATGCTGGCAGGAAGTGCTGATGAGGCTCCAAGAAGGGAGAAATTATTTTGGTGTCTATTTGAGTAAAATGCCTTAGAAAAAAAGAAAGGACACACTAGAGCTCTTTGGATAGTCTCTTGTGAAAAGCAAGATCAGCCAAGGAAAGGCATGATGAGCCAGGAAGAAGAGGGACTGCTGTTCCAAAGAGCACGGAAACTGAGCTGCTTGATTCCACTCGCTAAGGAAGGGACCGGTTTGTTAGCCTTGACATTAGGAGTCCAGTTCCTCAGCGGCAGGGAGGGGGCCTGGATGGGTAACAGGAAACCTTGGCAGGGATTCAGCGGTGAGAGCGAAGCTGGTGTCCCCTGAGTGCCTCTGGGAGTAGCGAGAGGGGCAGCAGTTGGAGTGAGAAACGGTCCCCTCGGGCATAAGCACTGTATTATAACATGCTCTTCCTTCTCTCAGCTTTGACGTCTGTGTAAGCAGCATGATACCTTACTTACGTCTGTATCTTTAAACAATCATTCTATAGAGTGTCCCTAGTTGTAACAGAAACTGTCGATGCAGGTTTATTTGGAGAAGGAATTGTGGAGAGTTTGATTCATGCATGGGAACATTTACTTTTGCCACCAAAGGTAAGCCAGCACGAAAGCCATTGCATTTTGTTCATGGTTTCATAGCTGTTCACTGGCGGGGAATTTTATCTCTGGGGGTATTAGGACCACCTCCTAGCGGTGCTCAGGAATTAGCAGCGGGGTCAGCTGTGTGCAGTAGGGTATACTTAGCTGTGTATAGGATATACTGCGTATAGGGTATACTTTTACCCTATATGCTATACCATCTCTAGCCCTCAGTAACTTTATTGAATGCCCAGTGTCTTTGCAGAGTATTCTGCAATGCATCCCACTGTCAGGATAGTCACTCTGGGTCATGGGTCTTGATGTGGGCTGGGATGTAGCCGAGTGGTAGAGCGCTTGCCTTACATGTGTGGGGCCCTGAATACCATCTCCAGCACCGAAATCTATAGAAAGCACTCAGTAACAATGTGTTGTATACACATGCTCGGAATAGGCCGACAGGCACACACCCTTCCAGCGGGGGAAGTTGGTAAGTGTTAGTAGTTAAGATTCCAGTGTAGAGGGACTGACTGGAATTCCTCAGTAGTGTTGAGAAATGGAGGCACTTACACTCTGAAGCCATTTTTTTGAGCCATACCTGTGGTGCTCAGGGACAACTGTGCGTGGTGCTTGCGGACCAAGTGACACCAGGATCAGACTTGGGACTTCTGCATGCAAAGCAGACACTCCAGCCCTCTGAGTTGTCTCCTTGCCTACTCCTTAGATTTTTTGTTTCTGGGCATCCAGCAGGTGTGGGGGTTCGAACTTGCAAAGCATGCACCCTACTCGCTGGACTAGTGCTCTGACCCACCACTTGGATTTTTGGGCAAGTTACTAAGAGGGAGTCTAGTGATAGCTGACTTGGTATTGTTCCCAAGTGCCAGGGAACCCAGGCTGCGATAGGCCAGGATCCCCTTGGTGTTGTCACGTTGTCTTGCATAGAAATGCTCAACTGTGTCTCACAAACCGAAAGTTAGTTTCTGTGATCTGTATTCTGAATGAAAGGACTTGAATCTAGAATGAACACTTCCGTTATGATAGTGATTTGGATTAAAAATAACTAGAAAATGAAAAAAAGCAGTTTGTTTTTTCAAGTGGGTAATGGTGACTTGCAATTTTCTATTAAAATTGTATCCAGTAGTCTTTTGTGTAGTCCTCCTTTTGCACCCTCCTTATTTGTACTATAAAAAAAGGTATTTTTCAAAAATATGTTTATATACACGAATGCATATATGTGTGTGTGGATGTATATACACATACAAATGAAAATAAACATTCATTTGTTTATTTTATTTTTTATTCTAAAAAGACAGAATTGATGCACAACTTAGTTTCAGATGTCCAGTGTAATTTATGAAACTGTCACCTTGATAAGCCTAGTTAAAAAGAGAAACGTGATTCTATTATTCAACATTAAAACATTATTGTGTCATGTTACTGTAACTTATTTTTTGGGCCATACCTTGTGCTTAGGGACTGTTCTGGCTGTAGTCAGGAGTTACTCTCATAGTCCTCTGGGAACTGTATGTGCCCCTGTGCTATCTCTCCGCCCAACAAAAGGAACTTTAAAGAAAAAACAGTTTTAAACAGATTATTCTTAACTATTAAGCTTTTTATTAAAAATTTTCATAGCTTTTCATCACAGGTGTATCATTTGCATATACCTAATTGAGTATAACTTGTATTGTTTTGTCTTTAGACCACAGGTAGTCATGATGATTGTGAAAAATTTGGAAAAGTTATACCAGCAAGTGCTGTTATGTTTGGCATGGCAGTTGAATGTGCAGAGATAAGAAGACATCATAGGTAGGTGATTATTTAGATGGCATATTTAAAAACAGTAATTATAAGTAGTAGAGTACTTAACAAGTCAAGTTACTTAGTAAAATACTTATTTGGATGAGAATTTGTCGGAGATTTTTTTTTTTTTTCTTTTTGGGTCACACCTGGTGATGTACAGGGGTTACTCCTGGCTCCACACTCAGTAATTCCTGGTGATGCTCGGGGACCATATGGGATGCAGGGAATCAAACCCGGGTCAGCCACATGCAAGGCAAATACCCTACCCACTGTATTGCTCCAGCCCGAGAATTTATAGTTTCTTGGCCTTTAAGTTTATGATGCTATTCAAATATTAATTTTGGGGGGACTTTATTGTCATTTATTAATAATGAAACTCTGGATTGAAAACCAATGTTTGATTTAATTTGAAGATTAATTTTGACATAGCATCACGGTATCACGGTCCTCCCATTGTTCATCGATTTGCTCGAGCGGGCCCAGTAACATCTCCATCGTGAGACTTGTTGTTACTGTGTTTGGCATATTGAATATATCACGGGTAGCTTGCCAGGCTCTGCCGTGCGGGCGAGATACTCTCGGTAGATTGCCGGGCTCTCCGAGAGGGGCGGAGGAATCGAATCGAACTCCGTTCGGCCATGTTGGCCGCTTGCAAGGCAAACGCCCTCCCGCTGTGCTATCGCTCCAGCCCTGACATAGCATATTCTTTGAATATGAATGAGTCACATTGAATGAATTGGATAGATTCATACAGCAAAGTATTAATCAGACTGAATTTTATTTTATTTTTTTGTTGAACCACTGTGAGATACAGTTACAAAACTTTTGTTTGAGTTTCAGTCGTGCAATGATCGAACACCCATCTCGCCACTAGTGCACATTCTCCACCAGTGTCCCCAGTTTACACCGCCCCTCTTTCCAGCTCTCCCCCTGCCTCTGTGGCCGACAATTTCCTCATACTCTACTTTTGGGCATTATGGTTTGCAGTAGAAATATTGAGAGGCTATCACGTTTGGTCCTTTATCTCCTTTCAGCACACATCTCCCATCCCTACCGATCCTTCCGACCATCATTGCCTTAGTGATCCCTTCTCTATCCCAGCTGCCTTCTCCCCCAGCTCATGAGACAGGCTTCCAACTATGGAGCAATCCTCCTGGCCCTTGTGTCTACTGTCCTTGGATGTCAGTCTCATATTATGTTATTCTATACTCTGCAAATGAGCGCAGTCCTTCTATGTCTGTCCCTCTCTTTCTGACTCATTTCACTTAGCATGATACTATCCATGACCATCCACTTACAAGCGAATTTCATGACTTCATCTTTCCTCACAGCTGGATAATATTGCATTGTGTAAAGGCCCTCCCGTTGATCATCGATTTGCTCGAGCGGGCCCAGTAACGTCTCCATTGGAGACTTTGTTGTTACTGTGTCTGGCATATCGAATACTCTCGGTAGCTTGCCGGGCTCTCCGAGAGGGGCGGAGGAATCGAACTCGGGTCGGCCATGTTGGCTGCGTGCAAGGCAGATGCCCTACCCGCTGTGCTATCGCTCCAAGTTTCTTTAACCATTAGACTGAACTTTAGACGAAAAATTTCCTGTGTGAAAATAGTTTTTGCTTGAATTTGCTTCTCCCTGTTTCCTCGTTATTCTTTGACTGTTGTGGGGCCTCCGCTCCAAGGGGTGCTGGGCACGTGCGCCCCCATTGGTCCTGCCCAGTGGGTGTGTGCTGCACGCAGCCTTTGCCCCTGCAGGAGCAGGTCAGGAAGGAGAAACCGCTTGGCTTGTGGCAGGGCGGGCCCTCTGGTGGTGCTTGGGGGCCCCAGGGCTGCAGCCCACTCAGCCTCCCGTGTGCAGGCCTGTGCCCGGCCCTCTGAGCTGTTTCCCGGGCCCTGACATACATGCCTTTGGGGTGTTCAGGAGGCTTAGGGGCCCTGTCGGTGATTTGCAGCCAGCTGGGCCAGGGCAGGGTAAGGGTGTGGTGTGTGTGTGTGGAGGGGGGTCCTCTGGCCACTCTGGCAGTGCTGGCGCTCCAACGCTGCACCCTGCGAGTCTTGGGGAGCGTGTGGTGCTGGGAATTGAACCCAGGCCAGGCGCATAGCAGGAGCGCACCCTCATTGCTGTACAGTCTCGGGTGCCTGGAGTTTGAACAGTGACGAGACGGGCCCCAGGAGCAGTGGGGTGTGCCAGGGGCAGCCTCTGCTTTCTCCTGGACCAGGTTATAGCAGGCTAAAGTTGGATGTATTTTATTTTTTGTTTGTTTTGGGGTCATACACTGTGGTGCTCAGGGCTTCCTCTTGGCCGGACTTTGGGGACCTGGGTGGGCCACGCCCTATGCCCTGTACCATCTACTCTGGTCCCACTTGATGTATTTTATAAAAAATTAATGGGATCTTACCATTCACTCCTTTTAATTTTTTTTTAAGGGGGGGGTGCACAACTAACCATGCGCAGGGCTTGTTGCTGGCACTGTTCAGGAATTGCTTCTGCTGGGCTGTGAGAGGGGGTGCATATGGGGTGCTGGGGATTGAGCCCAGGTTAGTGGCATGCACGGCAAGCACCCTGCCCGTTGTCCTCTCTCTGGCCCACCAGTATCCAGTATCTGACTGTATTCCGAGAAGTAGAGACATCAATCCCCGAAGAGTGAATCGGGGCCAGAGAGCTCCACAGCTGAGCCCGGGCTTTGTATGTGGAGCCTGCGTTCCGTCCCCGGCACCTCATGCCCGGGCACCCCCAAGCACCTCCAGGTGTAGCCCCTAAAAACAATGAATCTGGGATTTGCTTGGCTTAGGTAGGCACCCAAAAGTCTCCTCGAATGTTTGGAAATAGTGCAGTAGTGCAGAGTCTGTATTCTCAACAGTACTTGTCACTTGCTATTTCTGCCCCCTTTCTGATGCAGTAATACGATTTATTTCCTTGTTGGCCAGTGAGTCTGAGCGACTGACTGTGCTTCTCTGGACATGTTCTTTTGTCAAGTGTCTCTTTTGCCCATTTCTCTTTCTTTGTTTTTAAAATTATCATAGTTCAGTGACTGCAGTAGTGTTCCTGCTTGATGCTCACAGATCTCACACCTCACCCCCACCAGAGTGTCCGGGGCCGCTTCTGCCTTCTCCCGTTGCTCTGGACGGTTCTCCACACAGCGCTGGGCCCTGCTCAGACCTAGTGACGCAGGGCGGGCGGCCAGCAGAGCTCTTCCGGCCATGCGTGGATGGCTCTGGTGCCAGGGCACGGAACTGATGCTCCCCTGAGCAAGGCATGTGTTTACCCTGTGAGCCGTGTCCTTGGCCCAGTGTTTTGCCCATTAAGAAAACAATTTGTAGAAATTAAAAAATCTGTTTTGGGCTGGAGCGATAGCATAGTGGGCAGGGCGTTTGCCTTGCACGCAGCTGACCCGGGTTCGATTCCCAGCATCTCATATGGTCCCCTGACCACTGCCAGGAGTAATTCCTGAGTGCAGAGCCAGGAGTAACCCCTGTGCATAGCCAAGTGTGACCTAAAAAAAAAAAAAGAAAAAGAAAATCTGTTTCAGCTCTGTGAGTAGTTTGTTGAGTAGATGAATCATGGATCTCTACTGTGTCTGTCTTGGAGTGGCCCAGACCCAACTGCTGTGCAGATTTCTCCTCTGACTGTGGCTGTGTCTGTCCCCACTCTGGCTATCTTTGGATGAGCAGTTATTATTATTTTTTTAATTCTGTGAATCTGTTTGTTTGCATTCTTTATAGTTACTGATTTGTATAGTCTTATTACTGTAATTGTATTTAGGAAACTGGTCTGTAAAATTTTCTTTTTATGTTCACTTTCTCGGGACTGAATCTTAGATGGTATTGTCTGCAGGCACCCACCCGGTCTTTCTTTCCTTCCCCTCTCACCAGAGTAGGGAGTAAGGACCTTGCTGGCATCTGTTTGCCCCCAAATGTGAAGTTCCGGAGCCCGTCTTACACGGCTGCAGATACCGAAGAGACGGTGGAGCCGTATACGACGGAGAAGATGAGCCGGGTCCCAGGCGGGTACACGGCGCTGACACAGAGCTTCGAGATCCTGACAGTAGATTTCAACAGCCCTCAGGTGAAGCGAGGCTCACTGGCTTTCTGGGGCTTGTTTTTGAGCCACCCGTGCTGGTGCTTGGGCCTAACTCCTGGTTTGAGCTCACAGATTCCTCCTGGAGGGGCTTGGGACCTTATGGGGTGTTGGGAGTCCAACCTGGCTCGGCTTTGTGCAAGGCGAGCGTCTTCCTGCTGTCCTCTCAGCCCTTGGCCTTGTCTTTAGGGCTGTGTGGGTTTTTGCCGAGAGCTTCCCCATGGGGCCTTCAGCGTCCCCCAAAGGACACTGGCAGGACCGAGCTCGGAGAAGTGCAAGAGAGTTTTTAGCAGGGCGTGTTTACACTCAGCATTTAGAATCCTTTCTCTCTGTCTCTCGTGTGCGTTTTGATCAGGAATTAAAAAATCTTGCAACCAAAAAACCCAACAAAATGGCTATTCCTGTGGTTAAAGAAGGCGTCTGGGATGCTGTTGTGGTGTGGTTCGTCCTCCACCTGGATGCGGAGCACAGTCTGTCCACCAGCCCCAGCGAGGAGACGTGTTGGGAGCAGGCAGTGTACCCTGTGCTGGACCTCGCAGGTGGGCTTCCTCAGCGCCAGGAGACCCCCTCGGGTGAGAAGGTGCCAGTCAAGGCGGGGTGCGGACCTCTTTCAGAATTTTCTTTCTTAAAGCTAGTTTAAAACACTTACTTCGTGTTAAGATGAGACCAGAACAGTTCTGCTGACCCCACTCAGAAGGACCTGGAGTCATTTCTCGAGTTGGTCATCTGCAGATGGGAGAATTCTGGCCCTTTGTCTCTGCCTCATTGTGTGGAGCCGCAGCCGGGACAGCTGATGGCATCGTGGGGCCCGAGGTCACAGGCCTGCCAGCTCATATAGTCGGGAGTGTTTAGCTTCATGGGGCTCAGGAACCAGGAGCTGCCTTCGGGAAGTTCTGCACTAAACATTTTCTTCTTTTGATAGAGATGTACCTTGGCCAGTAAACTGATGCGATGCTAAGGAATTCACAGCAGTTCTGTTATATAGAAAACCATGATCTTTTCCAAACTGTTTAGTCAGTTAACTTTTTTTCAAGGGGCGGGGAGATAGCTCAAAGGGCTAAAGCGCATGCCTGGTGTCCAGAACCCCTGAATCCTACCCACGTGCTGGATAGAGCCCTGGTAGCCCCCGAGCACCTCTGCAGCGGCCCCATGACACTGGCACTGCATTGCCAAGCTAGCATCGACCATCCAGCATGCGCTTCTGAGCTGGGGTGGCCTCTGAACACCCTAAGCAGGGCTTGAGAGGACCCCCACCCCTCCAATAACAACAGCTCTAGTTTAGCAAGGTTCCTTGTCCCAGAGCCCCTGTTGTCCTGTGGCTCGCTGGTGTTTCGAAGTTGGTCTGGGATTTGGTTTCCCAGCTGGGCCCTGTGTTGCTCCTTGGCTGGCCTTGGTGGTTATTGCTGGTGCTTTGTCACTGTCCGATTCGCCCTTCCTCATATTGCCAAGTTTGAGCCCAGTGCTTCACACAGGTGAGGCAACTGCCTTGTTGCCGCTGAGCTGTATTTCTGGCCTGCTGCCGTGCTCCGAGGAACTGTGTCTTTGAGAAAAGTCTCCCATTAGGGTACCTGGAGGTTTGGTATTGACTGCTCAGTTTCTGTTGTTTGGATCACACCTGGCAGTGCTCAGGGGTTGCTTCCAGGGGCGTTGGGGACTGAACGCAGAGCAGATCCATATGCAGGAGGCCTGTGGCGTTCTCTGGCCCTCACTGCCTGCCTTTCTCTGTCCTGTCTTCCTTCCCTTCTTCATGGTGCGCCCCCTGCAGCCCGTTCCTTGCCGGAGGTGTGGGGACGCAGTCCTGCCTAGCGACCGGAGTTCTGTGATGTGGCTTGTTGGGGTGCTCTGATGGGGCTCCCGAGTCTCTCCACTTGGATCTTCGGATTTCTCTTTTCCTGAGACGAGCTGCTGGGATTGTCATTATTTTGTTTGCCTTCCCCACGCCCCTGAGGGAAATGAATACGCCAGTGCACTTAATTCTAAGGATCCCTTCCTGGGGTGGAAAGAAAATGTAGGAGGTGGAGTGGGAATGGTCGCGAGGACCCTTGACTTACGGTGTCATTCACCTGTTCCATCTTCCCTTTTGTCTGTGTGATGAAGACTACAGGATAAAACCTGGGGACCACGTGATGATGGAGGTGTCATGTCAGGATTGTTATTTACGGATCCAGAGTTTCTGTGTCTGCAGTTCCGATTCAGAAATGGATGTTGGGAAGAGTTCCGCTGGGGAGAAAGACTTGTCCCCTGTGGGGCCCGAGGCTGAACTCTGCAGCGCGCTGGCCAACCTTCAGACCAGTCGGCCGGACGCTGTGGAGCAGACCTGCATGCTGGAGTCCACGGAAATCGCCTTGCTCAATAACGCCCCCTACCACGAAGGCTTCAGACTGGCCATGAGCAAAGTGTTTTCTTCCCTCGCCCCCGAGACGCCATGTCCGGATAGCTCGGAGCCTCGCCTCGTGGGTGCTGGCGAGAGTCCCGACCCGAGCGTCCCTGAGCCTTTCTACGTGCTGGATGTGTCCGAAGGCTTCTCTCTCCTGCCTCTGATCGCGGGCGCTCTGGGCCAGGTTCGACCGTACAGCTCCGTGGAGAAGGACCAGCATCGCCTCACCCTGGACCTCATCTCGGAAGCCAACCGCTTTCCTAAGGACGCCCTGGAGTTCTGGCTGAGGCACGTGGAGGACGAGTCCGCTGTGCTGCAGAGGCCGCGCTCGGACAAGCTGTGGAGCATCATCATCCTGGACGTGATCGAGCCGTCGGGGCTCATCCAGCAGGAGATCATGGAGAAGGCCGCCATATCCAGGTAGGCTGGCCCAGGGGATCGGCAGTACCGCGTGCTGCTCGCGTGTGCCGTTTCTCTTCTAAACTTCGTTGTTGATTCTGGCGCTGTGCCCAGCTGTGCTCAGGGCTATTCCCGGCTTGAAGCTTGGAGGTCATCATGTGCTCCAACCCTTGGGGCGCTCTCCAGTGCCACGGGTTACTGGGGTGTTCCCCTTCAAAGGGAAGCGTGGCACTGCTCTGGGAATAAGAACTAGTCTGGGGATTATATATGACCAGCTAATAAACCCTGTGAAGTGACGCAGATGGTGAGGAGAGCTGGGAACGCAGAGGGTCCAGCCAGAATCAGATGTCACTGATTTCCTGAAGTCATTGAGATTTCTCTAAGTCACTTGATCTCTTTCTCTTTGATTTTCTTCTCTACGTAATGAGGGCTCAGAGGCATTTCAGTTTCCTGAATACCTATTCCTTTTTGTGATGTAAGCACTGTGGGGGATGGTTCGGGTCAGGATCATGAATTGTCTGCACAGTGAAGGCTCCTCGGAGGCATTCTGGCTTCCTGAACAGCTATTACTGCCTACAATTTAAGCGCTGTGTAGGATGATTCTGGTCAGATCATGAATTGTCTTTAGAAGTCTGAAGCTGTTTCAGTTGAGTCCTTCTCTAGCTGTTTTTGGTACATGAGAAGGCTGAGTTTCATTTCTGGTGTTACTTTAGATCACTTGGTTTAAGTTGTATGTTAAATTGCTAAATTTCACTTTTTATTGAGACAGTTATTTGCAAGGCTGAGGCTGAATCTTTTTTTATTTTTTAATTGGATCACTGAGATAGTTAGAAAGCTTTCATGATTTTCAGTCATAATGCTGGCAAGACCTTAACCCAATGCACATGTCTCCCTCGGTGCACATAATTCCACCACCAGTGTCCCCAGTATCCCTTCTGCCATCCGCACTCCATCCCGCCCTCTGCCTCTGTGGAAGGGACCTTCCTTCTTACTGTCTACTTTTGGTGTTTGGTCCTTGGTCTACTTGAGGCTGAGTCTTTGAGACTCCTATTATCCTTTTACTAGCAAACTCTCATTGGGGGTTTCTGTCTGCCAGGTGACTGGTTACTTTCCTTTCCCTGATGGGAAGTCTCTTTAAATTGAGTGGGAGATAGTGTCAGTGGCCTCCCATCTGGACAATGCTGTTACACTGAAATCATGTTAAGTAAATCATGGATTTACCTATGGGTGTTTCTGAAGCGCCGGGAGTCCGGATGCCTGTGAAATGTTTCCCTTCCCTAGATGTTTGCTGCAGTCGGGAGGCAAGATCTTCCCTCAGTATGTGCTGATGTTCGGGCTGCTGGTGGAGTCCCAGACGCTGCTGGAGGAGAGCGCTGTGCAGGGCCAGGAGCGGACTCTCGGGCTAAACATAGCGCCTTTCATTAACCAGTTTCAGGTAAGTGTCTGCTTCCTGATTCAGTGCTGTCTCCGCGGCATTCTCCGTCACTGTGTCTGGGTCGGTTAGGATGGTGCTCAGTTCCTCAGAGCAAAGGAACCTGTTAGGGCAAGAAACAACCTAGGGGTGCTGGAGAAGTATTTCGGGTTAAGGCCTTGCCAGCAGCCACCTGGGCTCAATCCCTGGCACCATGTATTTTCCCCTGAGCACAGCCAGCTGTGGCAACAACAAAGTCCACCTAGGGTCTAGACTGGCCAAGGAATTCTCTGTTACTAACAAAGTCAGTACAGCCCTCCAGCCGCCCATTCGAAGTGAGAAATGGTAACCTGTTTGGTTTTGTGAGAGTGCTAGCTCTTTGATTTTCAGAGAGCCAGACCACCCGTACTTCAGACTTTGAAGTCTGCTTGGTTCATTTTGGGCTACAGTCCCCGCTTTCTGGCGAGCAGACCAGACCTTTATTCAGGTCTTGCATGCAGAGCACATGCCAGCCCGTTGAGCTGTCCTGGCCCTGCGCTGGAACTCAGCCCCGCTGCAGCCTTGGGCGGAGCAGCTCGGTCTGGGCCATCAGGAGTGGAGGGTGCAGGGGACCCGGAAACTGAAGTACAGGTGTGTGTGTGGGGGGGTGCGCTCATTGCTGTCCAAACAGGGAGTGAAATAGGGAGTGTCTGGATCTGAATTAAATTTGTGTGTGTATGTGGAAGTTTAGGGAAACTTGGGGCTGGAGGGTTGAGGAAAGAAGTAGGTGGGTGACTGTTGCAAGCCCGGCCGAGTCTGGGACGGGGGGAGGCTGAGCAGAGGCAAGAAGTACCTGAACAGCAGCTGAAGCCACATGACAAAGCTTTTGACTCTGTACTTAGATCTTCCAAATACACACTTGCTGAGCAAATACTTTTTTTTTTAAAATTTTTTAACTTTCTTTTATTAGTGAGACATCATGAGGTACAGTTGTAGACTTACAAATTTTTGTGCTTGGGTTTCAATTGTACAATGATCAAATACCCATCCCTCCACCAGTGCCCATTTCCCACCACCACGGACCCCAGTATCCCTCCCACCCCCCATCCCCCCATCCCCCCCTACCTCTGTGGCAGGGCATTCCCTTCTGTTCTCTCTCTCCTATTGGGTGTTGTGGTTTGCAAAAGAGGCAGTGGGTGACAATCATGTTTAGTCTATAGTCTACTTTCAGCAGAGCAGATACTTTTTTCAGATCTTCCTAATGTTATAAAGTTTAGTATCCTGTTTTTTGGAGAGTTTAGTAGAGAACATCAGGAGATAGGAACAGTCAAGTTCTTTGTGGTCCAGGGCCACCATCGCTTCTCTCTGGTCTCCAGTGGCATCACTGATTCTTGACTCCAGCAGAACCTGCTGCATTTCGATGCTGCCCTTTGCTGGCCTACAGCCTCCTCCCCCTTTCTGAGAGGCCCCCCCCCCCCCCCCCGGGGCTGTAGCCTCGATCTAGCCCTGTCAGCCCACACCTGCCTGACCATCTCCCCGTCTCTGCAGCCACCCAGACTCTTACATGCTACTCTTCCTTCTCAAGTGTGGTGGTGGTCTGTTAGAGAGAATGCTGACTGAACTAGAGGAGCAAAATTATTACAAAAGAGTAAAAACGTAGAAATGTCTTTGCCAGATGTTACTGTGTACACTGTCTGATGTCTGAGGAACACAGCTTTGAGAGTAGAAAAATCCCTGACCCCGTGAAGCTCCCCTTCATGTGGACAGCACACAGGCTGGGCTGACTGGGAAAGTGGAAGCCACAAAGCCCAGCTTCCGGCCCTGCTGGCGTCGCCCCCTCAGCACCACCGGATACGGCTCCTGGAGATGGACAGACCCAGAGAGCAGACAGAGCTTAGTGTCACGGCCAGGGGCCATGGTAGGTGGAAGGGGAAGACAGTGGCCCTGGGTTCTGTCCCTGCGCCTGGGCGGCCGAGCACTGTTCAGTGTAGCCCCGAGTAGCTCGGAGCAACACTGGGTGTGGGCCCCCCAGCCAAAATCAGTAAGAAATCGTCCTATTTGCTTATCATGTCATCATTCACAAGCATATCCATGGTTGAAAAGTTCAGGATAGTTTAGCTTAAGTAAAAATTCGTTTTCATCCCAGCAAATAGTAGCTAACCGAAACTATAGCAGGTCACACAGCCCGCTTTTGGTTTGCTTATTCCCCTGGAACTGGAATCAGGAAAACCCGTGTCGTCCGACTGGTGAGGAAAGGAAAGGCAGTGAATGCGGTCACGGCCCAAGAAGCCGCTGAGACCTGGAGCCCAGCTGAGCGGGGCGTTTCCTTTGCAGGTGCCTGTGCGTGTGTTCCTGGACCTGTCCTCGCTGCCCTGTGTGCCTCTGAGCAAGCCTGTGGAGCTCCTGCGGCTGGACTTGATGACGCCGTATCTGAACACGGCTCACAGAGAAGTCAAGGTAACGTGGGGGTGACTGCTACCCACGCTTAAGCAGCGGGACTGGAAACAGCCACATGCTTGGAAAATTTAAACGCCACTTTGGTCAGTTGACGTGAATTTGAATTGGATAGTTAGGTTTCTTTAACTGAAAATGACTTCAAAAGCCAGGCGGGCTCCAGATGTGCCCTTTGCTAATGGCCTGGGATGCTTTCTTGCTGCAGGTGCCCATTTGCAAATCCGGACAGCTTACAGCCATCCCCTTCTGGTATCACATGTACCTCGACGACGAGGTCAAGTTGGATACTTCGAGTGAAGCCTCGCACTGGAAACAAGCCGCAGTGGTGTTGGACCGCCCTGTCCAGGTGCAAGCAGGGGACGAACTCGTGCTCAGTGTCCAGCACCACAAAAGCAGCGTAAGCATCACAGTGAAGCAGTGAGCTGGATTCCAGGGCCAGCCCCAGCCTTCTGCTCTGCGTGCAGTGGACTGCCATGACACATGGGCGTCGGTGGGAGTCTTTGTATTAGTCATATATGTAGATGTGTATTTTGGAATTGACACGAATAAAGGTGTATTTAAAGATCCCAAAGTTGTTGGGTCACTGATAAACACTATTGCATGTTGGCATCTGGAAGAACGTTGTCAAGAGTTGGAGATGGGTTAAGGCCAGATGTTTGCTTGTGTCAAGCTTTACCTGCTGTACTCTCACTGTGGGCCCCACCTGTACTTCCAGTAGAAATACTTCATGTAATTTTGCAGAGACCTTTAAATTACTGTGTCCCAGTTAATGTGTATATGTATATCATTATAGCAAGCAAAAGTTTTGAGAAATACATACTACTTGAAATTTGCAACATACTACTCTAAGTACTTTATGTATTTTATTTTCAGTATAAGATAGACCCACTGGGTTATTTATTAGAAAAAAGAATTGGTTCTCAGACGTAAAATCTATACGAGGCAAGATTTTTCTTGGTTTTCTTTGACAAAGGTTTCTCCCTCAGCATCTCCAAGGTCTTCTGACTGGGCTCAGGAGCGTTCAGTTTTGGTTGATGTTTGCTGCGCGTTTAGTGACACCGAGGGAAAGTGCCATGGAAGTGTAATAGCAGCACAGCCCTTTTCCTCTCCTGAGTTTTGTATTCTCCCAGTCTTCCACCTGGTTTATTCCTCTGAGTGCAGGGATAACTATTAGCAGTGCTACAAATGCAATTTTAGGTAGCACTGCTCATAGATGACCAAGGTTAGGTCCTAAGTTATATCTCCTAATGAAATATAAAATAAGTACCTTTAGTTGTCAGGCTTTATAATCCTTAATTTTCAAAGCTTATTTTCAGGCCTTTTAATCAAGCAGTTTTTAAGACATTAAGCTTATGTTTAAAGAATGACAGACATAAAGTAGGTTGCGGAAAATAAATGAGAAATTCTTTATTGAAAGACAACCAGTTGAGAAATTGTTAGGTAAGCATATATGGCACATGATTATGATTTAAGTTCCACTAATTCATATTTCCAATTTATACTTTCTGCTAATTCCAGAGCATTGTATTCATGCAGCACTGCTAGGAAGCATTGATTTCTTAAAACAAAAATGTCTGTCTTGATAGAGCAGTGTAACAGCGGGAACGTGTCAGTCAGTTCCTAGCACTGGAGGGAGTGTGATAATGCTCGAAATGTTATGAAATCAAGTCTAAGTCTAGGGTGTTTAGACCGATTATTTGAGAGATAGAAAATTTGGTTATTACAAATCCAGTACCTGTACCTTGCTTCCACCTAACGTTGAGAACTTAACTTCCCTGGCACTGATGGCTTGTCCTGGCGCATAGTCCTGAGCAGTGGGACCCATGGGTCAAGCCATACGTGTCACACAGCTGCTGTGCCTGGCTGCCACCTAGCTTTCTACTCAAGTTTTCCACTATTTCGGGCGTATCCAAGCAGAGCGTCTGAGGTCACAGGAAGCTGCTACTTCTGCATGAGCTTCAGGAGTCCCCGAATTTAGGCCCTTGAGTCTCTTGGGTAGTGTCGTCGAGCATTTCCTCAGGGATGTCACTGACGGTCCCAGCTGTGGCCTGAGAGGCCAGAGTGTGCCCAAAGCCCTGGTAGTGACCAGCGGGTGAAGGCGGGACAGAGACCACAGACAGGGCATCTTGTGACGACGATGACAACAGGCTTGTATGTTCATTGTGATCCTGATCCTCGGGAAAGAATTTCTTACGAGGCTGTCCCAGGACCGTCCTTCCTTCAAAGCGACACAGAGATGTCCGAGTCAGCCAAAACCTGGGTGTAGGCTGCTTTTTTTTTTTTTAAATGCTAAAAATACAGCCCTTGCAGTGGAAGCAGCACTACTTTACACAAATTATCTCTTAAAATAGCTACTTTAATCACTCTGGTAAGAGACATAGAGTTAAATGGCTGGTACTTACCGACATGTCTTACTTGTTCAGATATGTCATCCCTGATATCGGAAACGTCCCACATGGCAAGGAAGGAATCAAAGCACGATCCCTCCTCTGCTTCCTGGACGTACGGTCTATATGAGAACGTGTAGTGATGGGCAATGGCAGCAAGGAACATCTCTATGCAGATGATGAAGTCCTACAGCAAAGAAAACAGCAGCCAGCTGACTCCCAGTTTTTTTTTTTAATTTTTATTAGTGAAACACCATGAGGTACAGTTGTAGACTCACAAATTTTTGTTCTTGGGTTTCAGTTATACCATGATCCAGCACCCATGCCTCCACCAGTGCCCATTCTCCATCATTTACATTTAGGTAACAAGTATTTCAAAAGTCCTTTATCAACAGCTGTTCTTTTCATAACAATTTTATATTTCTCCAAATTACTTTTTTGTTTTTCTTCCTCCAAATTATTTTTATTTATTTTTTTCTTTTCGGGTAACACCCAATGATGCACAGGGGTTACTCCTGGCTCTGCACTCAGGAATCACCCCTGGCGGTGCTCAGGAGACCATATGGGATGCTGGGAATCCAACCCGGGTTGGCCTTGTGCAAGGCAAACGCCCTACCTGCCGTGCTATTGCTCCAGCCCGTCTCCAAATTATTATTAATCTTTAAAAAATCCTGAAAGTAAACACATTTTATCCCACATCTATCAAACTGTCAGCCAAGCACCCTGCCTGTACCCAGGGACTGAGCATGGAAGAGCAGAAGAAGACAAAGACCGACAGGGTGGAGGTTCCACTCCCGGCTTTCCTCCCCGGAAGTGACCGGCCAGTTCTGTAGGATTTCCACTTCCGCCTGTCAGTGAGGAGGCTGCCGGCTCAGAGAGGACGTGTACAACGCTCAGATGCTAGGAAGGTCTTGAGGGTGCCACTTACCTGGAGTCCCGTGGCCACAGCTTCCACTGTCTGCCACTCCCATGTGTGCTTCTCTGAAATCACGCCAACTTTCACCAACAAAGCAATGACGACTGCTTGCCTAGAGGGCAGGAAAAGGTAAATGCAAGTCTTTGGAAAGCATGGAACAGGCACTTGTTTTTAAAAATATACCATTTAGATCAGGTATAATACACAATTACATTTAATACTGAAGTTAAAAAAATCGTTTTTTTTTTTTGGGGGGGCTGCTGTTTTTGAGCACCTAGTGGTGCTCAGGGATCACCCCAGGCAGGCTCTGGGGGAGCATATAGGATGCCAGGGTTCGAACCCTTGTCAGCTGCAAGGAGAGCTCCCTAGCTCTGAACAAAACCGTTTTAGAAGTTTATCTTCTAAACTGTGTATTCTTTGTATGAGAGGCCTAGGACTTACTGGAATGTTTCCTCCAATGTTGAGACTTTAGGTTATCTTGATTAATTTTCTGGTTTTCGTTTCTGAGCCACACTCTGCCGCTCACTTTGATCTTGTGGATCACTCCTTGTGAGGCTCCATGGCCCATCTGGGGTGCAGGGATCGAACCCAGATCTACCGTGTGTTAGGCAAACACCTTTCTTCCCTGCTGTCTCATCACTCAGGCCCCTACTTGAATCATTGTCTTCTAGTAAATACTGCCGTGACCAACGGATGGTTTGTTCTTATTTTTGGTTTTTCTTTTGGGGAGGGAGGGGTAAGACACCAAGAAAGGCTGAATTTCAGAACGAATATTTTAAAAGTAGAGACATCTGAGTTAATTTCTGCCTATTTAATAATTTAAAACTATTCTAAAACTGTTCCCGGCTCAACAATTTAACTGCTCTTAAGGAAATGAACGTTTAAGAGAAAACAATACTTACCAAAAAGAAACAAAAACCACTAGTTTAACACAAAGGAATTTGCCCACAGGTTGTATTGGACTCAGTTCCTCCTTCAGCACTTGGTAAAACAGCAGAAGGCAATACATGGCGAACTGGAAACCACATCAACAGTTAGACTTCTCCAGTGAGAATAAACGTGTCAAGAAACAGTCAAGTTACACAGAGGTAGAAAGTAACTTTTTTTTTCTTTTTTTGGGGTTACACCGGGCGAGGCACAGGGGTTACTCCTGGCTTTGCACTCAGGAATTACTCCTGGCAGTGCATGCTTGGGATCGAACCCAGGTCAGCTGTGTACAAGGCAAACGTCCTTCCTGCTGTACTATCGCTCCAGCCCCGGAGAGTAACTTTTCACGCAAGTTTTTCTAGACCTTTTGCTATCTAGGTCAGCCACAGACTTATATAATTTACTGTGGCTGAAGATAATCTGCATGATTCATGAATTGCTTCAGATGATGTAGAACACTTTAAGTGTTTTCCTTTTTTGGGGTGGGGTGGGAGGCATACCTGGCGAAGCCCAGGAGTTACTCCTGGATCTGCACTCAGAAATATCTTCTGGTGGTGCTTGGGGGATCACACGGGTGCGGGACTGAACCCGGGTTGGCCGCGTGCAAGGCAAGTGCCCTACTGCTGTACTATCACTCTGGCTCCTTAAGCGTTTTCCGTCTAGGGTCAAGTGCTGGATCGTGGTGCTGGGGAGATCCTGGAGGCCTGCAGCATGGACTTTGCAAGTCCCAAGCTGGCGCAAACTCAACACCACCAAGTATGGCCCTCAGATGGGAACCAAGCCAGCAAGCTGTACAAACCAAGCTGCTCCGAGCGGAAGATACTCAGGCAGAATAAAAGCACCTACTTATGGATGGCTTTTACGCACATTTTATCGGGGCTGGGTTTATTGAGTCTATTTTACACAATGAGGTGTTACATAAGTACCTCAAAAAAGCTGAGTGTGAAATCTGAACAAATCATTGTTGGGGCACTCTGTTAGTACTGACTGGATTTAAGACATTAAAATTTAAAAAAATATATTTTTCAAAAATTAAAATGCTTGTGTAGGCATAGCTCCACAGTGCTAGGGCTTGGTGGGGTGGACTCGAAGGGCATACCCAGCGGCTGCTTGGGCACTAACTGAAGGACATGCACCTGCTAGGTGTGTGCTAAGAGCCCCCACCCCCAATTTACTTTCCTATAACTCCACGATTCCTTTCCACACGTAGGTGGTTCCTGGCAGTGCTCAGGGGACCGTAGGGGGTGCCAGGGATGGAACGTGGGTCAGTTCTGCGCAAGGCAAATGCCTTATTTGCTGTTCTATCTTTCGGGTCCCTGCAGTATGTTTTCTTCAAGAGGCACTGTGAATTTCTTTATGACATATACATATGCAATTAAGTCATGAGAACCAGACTGAATGAACAAACACAATCAACAGGCCGAAGTCTGAGTCCTCAGGTCGGGAGACGGCTCAGAGGGCCGGAGCACATGTTGTGCACCTCACTGCCCCCAAGGGACACAAGAATGAACTTGCAAACAGAACTGGGAGAACCCCAAGACTAAAAAGGTACAAATCAATAAAAAAGATTATTCACGTTAGTTCCATTTATTTGAAACGAATTTCAAGATTACAGAGTAACCCTCTAATTTTTCTGGGGGTGGGAGCACACGCAGGGCTTATCCTGGCTCTGTGCTCAAGGATCACTCCTGGTGGCATTCAGGGGAGACCATGTGGGAATAGAACCAGGCTCGGCGACATGCAAGGCAACTGCCTTCACCTTTGTGTTATCATTCTGGCCCCGTTAAAAAAAAAAAAAGCAACAAACTTTATTCTAGGAAAGTCAACTTAAGAAAAAATACAGGTCATAACTGAGTACGGCTCAGACAAATACTGGCCAGAGACGGTTCAAAGGGCTGGAGCACAAGCTTCGGCATTTGGAGCCAGCCCTGGGTTCAATCCCTAGCCCCGCATGGTCGCCAGCACCCCGGGGACCCCCCCTCCCAAGTGAACAGAAAGAGAGAAAGGCAGACATTTACTTACCAATTGTGACATGTTGTTTATTATAACCAAGTAAGTCCAAGCGTTTGAGAAACTAAAGTTGCCTTCATCGTACACATGAAGCAGCTCACAGATTCTGGGAAAAAAAAAAAAAAGGTAACATCGAAGACAACTTTCAGGTCAGCTGTGAAGGGCCCAGAGGTGCCGGGGCAGCCGCCCTGGCTGGGAAACACAGCGCCCACGGGTCAGCCCTGGCTCAGCAGCATGCCCTCTTGGGTGTGTGGGGCTCCCGGGAACGCTGTGACTTTGGGAGGTGAGCCCTGGGGGCACATCACAGCCCCCATGTGTGTGACCCCAACAGCAAAGGGGAGAGGATGGGGAGGGAATAAAGCCAAAGCAAAACATTGACTTCCTGCTTTAAGTGATTTGATTATGTCCTACAGTTTTTAGGGAACAGTTTGTCAGATCACTTAATGAAAATAAACAGCATTTTCCTTCAAATGCTGTCACAAAGATTAAAAAAAAAAATCTTGAAATATAGCACCCAGAGTAAACGACAATAAAATCAGGCAGATAACTTTAACCTCGTGTAAGTTAAAGCTATAAAGAAGCTGTGAGAAGATCAATACCTGGGAAAAGTATTTTTAAACTTGGGGGCTCGAGAGAGAGTGCAGCGGGCAGGGCGTTTGCCTTGCTGATCCAGGCTCCGTCCCCAGCACCCCACACGGACCCCAAGCACTGCCAGGTGTGGCCCCCAGTCCCCAAAAACATATTTCTAAATATTTTCCAGAAACACTAGGAATAAGGGCATTTAGAGAAACTGCCGGTCATTTCTATTCCTTTTCATAGCAGGGTTTGGCGATTCTCTGTTACCTGGGCTGGAGCATTTGGTACTGCTCCAGCTGGGGAGTGCCGGTGACAGCCCAGCCACCCCAGAAATACCGTGGTGCCTCCAGCGCTGTGCCGGGCAATGTTTTGGGGACCACATGACGCTGGGGGTGGAAAGCGTGCAAGGCGCCAGGCCTGCACCTTAACTACCCCGCTGCCCCATGCTGGCTCTGGCCCCGGCCTTGATGGGCCCTTGCCCATCTTTACTGATCTTTAAATGGAGCAGGGTTTCTATACACAGTTGACAAAGCCAAAATAGAAGCTCTTTAACAGCCATGATCCTAGAGACACACAAACGAATCTTGGAACCAAGCGGCTCTTGGTCAAAATCTCTCCAGAGATTTTAACTATTAAAATTTTAGAATTCGGGACTGTGCGGCTGCTCTTGGGGCTGCGCACATCATTTGCTACTTATAACCAGCAATACAAAACAAACTAACGTTGCCTTTTCGGCAGGTCTGAGTGTTGGGGGGAAATCCCAAATAATAATGGTGGGACTGGTGTCAAAATATTGAATGTAATCAAAGTAGAGGGAGAACAATGTGGAAATTTTCTGCCACGGAGGCAGGGGTAGGGGTGGGATGGGGGGTAGGGGGGATACTGGGGTTTTTGGTGGTGGAAAATGCATGGGTGAAGGGATGGGTGGTTGATCATTGTATGACTGAAACCCAAACATGAAAGCTTTGTTAACTTTTCTCATGGTGATTCAATAAATAAATTAAAAAAGAAAAAAGAAAATGCCAAAACAGACTAGCGATTATGTAAGTGAGGCAATTAATGCGCTTTTTAAAAAAAGTCAGTTTCAGGGTCAGAAGGACAACACAGAAGGTAAGGCGTTTGCCTGGCATGTGTCTGACCTGAGTTCGATCCCTGGCACCCCAGATGGTCCCCCACGCACTGCCAGGAGTGATGCCTGAGTGCAGAGCCAGGAATGGTCACCAAGCACTGCCGAGTCTGGCCCAAAGACCAGAAGCAACCAAACAATAAAAATCAGTTGTTCCCACATTAAGTGCATGACTCCGAAAAGGGAAAAGACAACGTATGTCCTTTGTACTCACAATGCGATGATGGTGGTAAAGGGTCTGACAACAGTATACTGCAACACACCCAGTTTGCACCTGAAAAGCAACACCCTGCAAAAGAAAGGGCGGAACATTTCAGCCACCACTCAGCAGTAGCAGCCCTTCCCCAGAGCCCCCAAATTAAAACCACCAAGGAATGGCAGCACTGCAAATTCCACTATTTATTCTAAATGGCGTCGAGAAGAATGTAAACCTTAGCAAACAAGTAGCATTGTAGCACTGTCCTCCCACTATTCATCTATTTGTTCAAGCGGGCACCAGTAACGTCTCACAACAAATTGTCAGACTTGTTACTGTTTTTGGCATATAGAATACATCACGGGGAGCTTGCCGGGCTCCCCGAGGGGGGCAGAGGAATCGAACTCGGGTCGGCTGCGTGCAAGGCAAACGCCTTACCCGCTGTGCTATCACTCCAGCCCAGCAAACAAGTATTATTATTATTATCACCATTTCTGGATTGGGGGCCAGTCTCTGTGTCCAGGGCTGGGGCTGGGAGCTGCTGGGGACCAGCAGAACCCCTTTCGGGCACCTGAGGCATGCACACTAGCCAACAGTGTTCCTCTGGCTCCTTAGGTAGAAATTCCAAACTACTCTGATGACAGGATTTTCTCAAAGACCATCCTTTTTGTGGATAATCTCAAGCTCCCGAATTTTCGAACCAAGTAACAAAATCAAAGGAACCAAAGTGGTCAGTGTGCTTTTGGAAGAGAAGCTGGACTAAGAAATAACAAGTGTGTCCATGTGAAGTGTATCCACAAAGAATTACTGACTTTTAGGATCCAGCTCAAGTTCGGAATTCACATGTCATTCCAGACAGCAGATACTCTGAGAGAACCAAACCAAGATTCTGCCCGAAATCGTTTTAGTTACTTGGCTCAATGCAGGGGAAAAATTCACAGGGAGCAGCAGCAAACAATGTCCAAAATGGAGGCAAGGTGGGCGGAGAGGCTGGTGGGACTCAGGCGGAAAAGACGGTGCGGGCAGGGCTGCTGGGAACGCTTGTATTGCTCTCCAGTCAAATGGTCAGTGTGGGTCTGGCTCAGAACCTGGAGGGGTGTTTTAGACTGAGTGAAAGTGCTGAGTCACTACCACTAAGATGGCCAGTGGTGCAGGGCTCAGAGCTGGACAGGCACCTGGGACAGGACCTCGTCATGAAACATCCTGGCCAGTCCTCCCCGTCATGGACTTTACAAAACTCAACTGAACTGAACCAACAAGGTCCCCTATGTTGGTTAAACCAAACCAGAGACCACTAAGATTTGTTAGGTCCTTTGGGAAGCTGTGGAGAATCAGCAAACTGGAAGATATATCTGAGGAAACTTCCCAGAACATAGCAATGGCTGAGACGAAGAAAGGAGTGTGAGCTACAAAGAACAGAGATCAGAGTAATATGTAACCGATAATCAACATCAATTGATAACCTGCATTCTGAGAGACAGAACATGCAAGTAGAGGAAAGCAAAACCAGAAGACAGTATGGTGGAGAACTTTCCCAAACCAATGAAAAGCATGTCTCTACAGGCCCACGGACTGGGAATTAAATAGGGTGAAAAGGAAAACCAGAGTGAAACTGCAAACGCCCAAGACAGGGTTGTTCCATGCGGATGGAGACAGACAGTCTGCAAGGAGACAGACAGAAACCTAGCAGTAGTAAGAGCAGGCAGAGGGCCTGGAGCAACAGTACAGCAGGAAGGGGCTTGATCCCCACATTCCAGGTGGTCCCCTGAGCACTGCCCAGAGTGATTCCTGAGCAAGTGCAGAGTAAGTCCTGAGCTTCACTGGTTGTGGCCCCAAAACGAAAAAACAAAACAAAACAAAACAAAAACAAAAAAGAAGTAGGCAGAATAAAATGTTCAAAGTGCTTGAAGAAAATTTCTGTCAATATGGAATGTGTAAAACTTATCTTTCAAGCACGAGGGCAAACTAAATAGACTTTGGATAATTCTGTTTGAGAAAATCTGCCATTGGTACACTGACACATTCAAGGCAGGAATTCAGCAGGGGAAAGAAAATGATTGGAGATGGAGGAACTGAAAGAAGAAATAGAAGCAAGTAAACATAGTCTTTTAGATCTATAAAATAATACCTACTAAGGCCTATTTGTTAATATTGGATACTTAAAAAAAAAGGGGGGGGTTGGGGGGAGGCCACAGCTCAGGGCTGTGCTCAGAGATTACTCCTGGCAGTGCCAAGGCAAGCATCGCAATCCCCGTACTACCTCTCCGGCCCTGAAGCAGTCATGGTAAAATGCAGACTCTTAAGTAATCATCAGACTAGAAATAGAAAATACAATTTTCAAACCAGTAGTGAGTGGGAAAAAAAGGCTCAAGAATAGAATCGGTCACCTACAGGATATGGAGGATCAGCTGTAATCAGACAGTGGAACACAGAGGGAAGCGGTCACTCTGCATTTGTAAGTCAGGGACTGTGCGTGGAGTGCATGTGAGTACCTGGGATCAATCTCTGGACACACACACACACACACACACACACACACACACACACACACACACACACACACACACCAGTCAAGGATGGAGAGCTAAGATGGCTTCAGAGGCCTTGGCTTGATTTCTGGCACACTTCCCCGAACATGACCAGGACTGACTCCTGAGCACTGCACCAGGAGTACCACCATGAGCAGTGCTGGGTGTGACCCGAAAACCAAACAAAAAGTCAGTGATGAAGGTAAAGAAGAAAAAGCGAGACTAAAGGAACAGAGAAACATACCAACATTACAAATAAGCAAAATCACCATGAAAATGTCTTTGCTGACATCGTCAGGTTTAACCCTGCAGGTTCTAACCGAATTTTAAAAGAGAGACAAAGGAGTAAGTGCTGGTCAGACTGGAATGGAAAAATACACTAAAAACTTCAACGTTCTCTATTCTGGAACTGCTCAGAATGCAGTTCAGGTGCCTGATATGTTTTGTTGATGAAACGCACTCTTTCATATTTCCTAAAAAAAAAAAAAAAACCATTCTGATTAAAAAAAAAAACAAAAAAACAAAAAACAAGGCCTATGTTTCCCCAGCACCGCCAGGAGTAAGCCCAGAGCACAGCAGGGTGTGGTCCCAAAACAAAACAAACAGGAAAAGGCTGAACAACAAGTGGTTACCTCAAACATAAGGGCACGGAGAAAGGATGAAGAGGCAGAGAAAAAAAGATGCCAAGCGAATATCACAAAGAAATGTGAGCAACCAGTCGATAGCACACTGACCAGCTTCAGACTAAAGGATGACGGGCAGAGGCAGGGTCAGGGCAGGTCAGGTCAGAGTTCATGTCACGGGAAGGCCCGAACCTGCACTTCACTTACAGCAGCGCAAAGGCAAAAAACGACAGGAATGTGGAGTAAACAGCCAATTATCTATCAGTGGCACTGTGTTAGGAAACAGACAGAGTAAGCGGAAAGAAATGGAAGACAGGAAGTAAAGGAAAATCGGAGACCAGTGCGGGGCTTGGGGATTCCTCCGAACAAGTGGTGCCAGCCGGGTACCGTGCCCAGGGCTCCTGCCTGCAAAGCAAGTGCTTCAGCCCTTGGGGCCTTCTCGGCCAGGCAAGGATTTTTTTCAACAAGACTCGAAAAGTGCTATGAAGTGAGACAGATACCTTCACCGACACTAAAATGGGAGGCCGGAAAGCAGCTCGGCGGCAGAGTGCTTGCTCTGCACGGTTCAGCCCGAGTTCCATCTCCAGCACTGCTCAACATCAACAAATTGGTAAATAAGTTAATCTGGAAAAAACTTCCAGTGATAGAAAAGGCAGGACGACTGCTGAAAACTGCAGAAGCGATTTTCAACCTGCCCGAAACACAGGCCTGGGAGCCTGCTAGGCAGAGATACCCGGAAACACCACAGGACAGAGAGCGACAAGCTGGCAGGAAAGGAAACTAGGAGCGAGGCGGGAGCAAGGCTGGTGGTCAGAGACGCGGGCGAGCACGGGCAAGGGAAGACGGAGCACGCCCGGCCGCCCAGGGTATACCCTAGAGCAGTTTTTCCCGGTCAGGTTCAACCCTGCAGGTTCTAACCGAATTTTAAAAGAGAGACAAAGAAGTAAGTGCTGGTCCACGAGAAGTTTGCTTCATAAGGGTATCAAGCCGTGCAAAACGTTTCCCTTCCACCAACATGAACAAGACTGTGTTTATCCAGAGAAAAACCACTGCGTTCACAGCTGATGGCAGGGAAGTGGGAAGTATAAAACACGGACCTATTTTGTATCATCTACAAATGTTTTTTTTTTTTTTTTTGTGGGGGAATAGGGAAAATACCTGAAGTGTTCGGGGCTCAATCAAGCCTAGGGCTCCTACACTCAAGGCACGCTCACCAGCCTCTGAGCCATTTTCCCCGGCCCCCAGCAGGAACTGTGAGCTTGCTTCTGCTGCCAGGTGGGAGCAAGAGCACCACACTGCAGTAACCTGCAGAGCAGTGGCTCCGCTCAACCAGACACAGGTAGGCGAGGAGAATCGGAGCGCTTGACGGGAAGGCCAGGCCGTGCTTACTGGGGCCAGAGTGAAACCAGCTGGAAGAGACCAGGACATGCCATGCAGGAAGAAAGCCTGCGCAGCCAAGCGCACAAGCTGACTCTGGGCATCCTGACAACTCCGCGAATCATTCTGCTTGGGGTCTGAGTCCTGCGCCAGCCTAGCTGAGGCACCTCCAGCTTCCTGCCGGGTTCTGTAGCAGATCCTCCCCCATCAAAGCTGAGCCAGCCAGTAGAGGCAGGAGAGGCCTGCGCGCACGGCCGTCTCTTCTTCCAAACGAATCACTTCTGGCGGTGCTCAGGGCTTACTCCTGGGTCAGTGCCCAGGGGCGTGTGTGGAGCCTGTGCTCCAGTCCACTGACCTGTCTTTCCAGCCCGACGACAAACTGTTTAAAATACTGTTCCGCACGGTCCCCATGGGAATCATGCATTTAACAGATGAAGTCTGACTTCAGGTGACTTTCCTGGTCTTTGCTGAATGTGGAACACTACGTGGGAATCTGATGAGGCCAACTCACTGTTAGGAGCCGCCAGGATACAACCTGCTGCTCCCCAGGCTGACCATCTCCTCCCCAAGTCTTAGAGCTGAGTTTGCGGCTGAGCAGGGACGTGGCCTTACATGCGTTCATTTCTGCAGACGACCTCCCAGCTGTCAAGACTGTTGGTTGAGTATTAGGGCTGGAGCGCATGTTCTGCAGGCAGGAGACTTGGGCCAGGGAAATGGGACAGCGGGGAAAGCATTTGCCTCCTGTGGCATATGGTCTCCCAAGCGTCTAGAGATTCCTGAGCACAGAGCCAAAGTAAAAAAACAAAAACACAAAAACCCTAGTACCCATGGTCCCATGAGCACTGGTACCCCTGAGCACCAAGAGGGTTAATTTTTATGGTTTTCTTTTTTTATTTTTTTTAAACCACTAACATACTTTGGGGCTGGAGCAATAGCACAGTGGGTAGGGTGGGTGTTTGCCTTGCACGCGGCCAACCCAGGTTCGATTCCCAGCATCCCTTATGATCCCCTGAGCACCGCCAGGAGTAATTCCTGAGTGCAGAGCCAGGAGTAAGCCCTGTGCATCGCCAGGTGTGACCCACAAAGCAAAAAACAAACAACCCAACAAACCACCAACATACATTTGGCAAAGACTATTTTATGTATGTGGATCATAAAAATGTGTTTTGTCAGTCTTCAAACTTGACTATGAACTCACGAGGGGAGAACTCTGCCTCCTACTTGCCACCCTGCTCACTGAACCCCAACCAAATGCCTCTTAGAAGACTGATACTAAAACTCTATGTATAACTAAACCCAAAGCATCTAAGAATTAAAACCAACCATACTTACTCTCCCATAGCCCACGGTGGACAGCAACATAAAGGAGGAAAATGTTTCTGCTGTTCTTTGGCTTCGAGGATTAATACCAGATTTGGATATCGGTTAGTTAGGTAATTGGTAAGAAACCCCATAAAGTTGTAAATGACATAAGCTTCGTAACATTCTCTGCAGGTATCCACATATATCGCAATACTGGGATATTTCAAAGCTATCCACTATGAAAAAGCACAAATGGAACATTAAGTGGAGGGCAAATGACCAACACAGAGAAACTACATATGCACTTGAGCTCTTAAATATAACCTGAAATTTACCCTGACATTATCCTATGAAAAGCTTACTACTGAGAACTTTCTTATATTTGAACAAACGAGAACAATGACCTAGGGCTGGAGAGAGAACTCAAGAGGGTGAGTGAAAACGCTGTGCCTGATGGAGGCCTGGGTCTAATCCGTGTCACCGTACGGCTGGCCACTCCCCCCCCCTCCCCCGCCCCACTCCTCCTCATCACCAGGAGTGATCCTGAAGCACTATGCTGGGAGTAGCCCCTGAAAACCAACCAGGTATGGTGTGGGCCGAAACACCAAAAACAGCTGTTCTCTGTCTGCAACAACTGCATGCGTTAGAACCCACCAGGAACTGTTTTTCTGTTTTACGCCACACCTGGCAGGGGCGACTTCCTGATCGGTGCTCAAGGGTCTTTCCTGGTGGTACTCAGGTGAGCAAGTGGTGCTGGGGCCAGAACCAGCTCTCCCGCATGCAGAGCATGCCTTCTAGGCTGCTGACGCTCTATTTATTTTTACTGCTTTTCAAATAAAAATAAAAATAAAAAGGATGAATAATAACGTAATCTAAAATACTACAATTGTAAACACAGCTAAAATCTTAAAAGGCAAGCAAAGAAAACATCCACCGAGTTCCACACACAAACCTGAAAACCTCTGCATCTTCCATAGACACTTATTTCCATCATCAGTATAACAAGTGAGCCTCTTCGTGTCTCCTGTAATCTGACGCCACCGTCAAATGACACGCTCTCAGGACCTTATGCATTCTATAAGTACAGTCAGTGATATCATACAAGTTCTTAATGAGATCAAATGAAATATACTTACACTATCCAAACTGTATATGGGCACCATCCAAAGAATCCTATTTGGAAAACAAAACAAACAGAAACTTTTTATGTCCTACTCATGACAGAGGCCAATACGACACTTAGTAGGACCAAAATATAAGTTGACCTTATTCTACAGAATGGAGCTGAGCAAGGTGAGCAAGGTGGGGGGTGGGGAGGGCATAGGGGTGGCTGGGAGGGGGTGTGGGGACACTGGAGGTGGTCACCCTGCATGCACAAAACCCTAACACCAACAGTGTTGTACAGCGCGGAGTCGCAGACGAGTCGGAAAAGGGGAACCGAGTCACCTTATGATGGGTTTCTGCAGTTCAGGCTGCGTGTAGTGTACCAGGTGCTGGAGGATCACCCAGAGGGACACAGGTATCGTCAAGAGTAGAAAGATGCCAGCGATAAACCAGGCCTTGGTATGAATACCAACCTACGGGGGCAAAGGAGCAGGTTAGCACAAAGGTCCCAGGATCAAAACGGAAGAGCTGGAGGAAGCACTTTTATTTCTTGACCTTTCGTTTGTTTGATTAGCAATGAGGCAAAATATCGACCAAACGACTGGCCGCTATTTTCTGCCTTCCTTTTGGCAAACAGTCTGGAGGGTTCTGGGGCGGGCGGGCTGGAATCTGACTCCCTGGCTTTCAGCAGCGGCATTAAGGCCCAGCGCCCCCCAACTGCGCTCCCAGCTAGGAACTCTTTACAGCTGAGTATCATTTGGGGGTGATTGTACACAAGTTTTGAAATTTCCCGCAATTCAAACCTAAAATTCATTCCATGGTTGCTCTTTTTTTTTGTTTTGATGTCTAGAAAGCCAAGGAGGACCTTTTATTTTCTATAAATCTTGTTATCCAACATCTGAGTACAAATTGTTAATTCAGCTACCACTTACGCACAGCGACACGAACTCAGAAAAACAGCATTCAAAGGATGTCTGCTGGGTGCCCGGGGGATGATTCAGCGGCTGAGCAGTTGCCTTGCCTGTGTGAAGCTCAGGTTAGATCCTCACCCACCCCCACGGCACAGAGCAATAAATGAATATATCGCTCCTCAGTGGAGCAGGTGCCTTGGATGGGAGGCCCTGGGTCTGACCACACACAGTGCAGACAAACAAAACTCTTTTTTTTTTAAAGGTCAGTACCTGATGAATCCTTTGTCTTTTGAAAGCTTACTTCTGGACCGAGGAGATAGCTCTAAGGCCCGGTACATCTGCTTTACACCAGAGTCATGGGTTTAGTCCCCTGAGCCTTGTCCGGAGTGACCCCTGAGCACAGCCAGCTGTGGTCCCAAATACCTGGGTCGGCCACACTCAAGGCAAGCGCCCCATCGGCTGTGTGTGGCTCTGGCCCCGCAACAGAGTCTTGATGTACATCCGGCTGTAGGCGGGAGAAACCGCACAGAGGTCCAGGCGTCTGCCTTGCACACGGCTCACCCTCTCCCACCCCTGGCATTGCCTATGGTCCCCAAATGCAGTCAGGAGAGATCCCTGAGCACAGAGCCAGGAGTAAACCCTGCGCACAGCTGGATGAGGCCTAATTCTTGCCTCTCTCCCCCTGAAAAGAGGGAAATGTCATTAAATTGGACAAAAATAATTTTCAAAACACAATGTCCATAATTAGAATGGAAAACTTGAACAGCACAAAGCAGAGTCATGTTGGAGTGTGAAGTTAATCTGAGCGGCCCTACAGGGCAGTATGTGGCAGTGTGGCCGAGGGAACCAGCTCTCAGGGGGGTTTGTCTCGAGGTTTTTGTCTTGCGGCCACACCTGGTGGTGCTCAGGGCTTACTCCTGGCTCTGAGCTTAGGGATCATTCCTGGAGGGTCTCAGGGGACCCTATGGGGTGCCAGGGAATCTCTCCCAGGTCAGTCCCCAGCAAGGCAAATGCCTTACCTGCTGCACTACCTCGTGGACTCCACGGATAACTACTTTACTCAATTTCACTTCAAACTGAGCATTTGCTTTAAGGATAACCTAAAAGAATGCTAAAAGAACGTTTAGATCGTCTCTTTGGTAACATGATCATTCCAAACAGTTCTGCCAAGTCCCTTTCATGTCCACATTTGCTTTTAGGACTTGGCCCGGCGCCCCAAGCACAGCTTGGTTGTGGACTTAAGAGAGAAATGATGTGCCGGTGACTCATGAAGGTCAGGCGTCCTGGGTGTGCTGGACGGAAGAAAGTTCTCCCAACAATCACAAAGCGACTGCCCCGAGAGCTGATTCATTACTGGACACTGGTGCCAAGTTTGGAAAAAAAAAAAAAACCAACAAAAACCCAACTGGCATCAGTCAGGCCCTTGTTAATGGACACGAGACGCCACCTCCAAACACATCATCAGTCTCATCCACGGGCGCCACTGGTGCTCTCAGTGCTTTGTTTTCTGAACTAACACAGGAGCTGAAGGGAGCAGGAATGTGACTGCCTCAGGTCCCATATGTGTGTGCCTATTTAAGGGGCATTCCGGTACGTCAGCGCTGGGGGTCCGTACTGATGCCGAGGAGGACCATCATACTCGCTGGGATGGGATTCACACTACTCTCTAAGGCACCCGCCGCAGACACACCAGGCCACACGAACACGCGCCTAAAGCCTGTCAACCCTGCACGGAGAGCTTTATTCCGTGCATGGAAACTGGGAGATAAGCATCGCTGCAAGTCGCTGCTAGTTTTCCTATAGTAACGTGAGAAAAGACAAACGAAGGGTGAGAGGACTCTCCCAGCCGGGTGGCTGCGAGCAGAACAGAAGGACCAGAGTCCACTCAGGAGTCACCTGGGGCTGGGGGCCGTGATCCACCCTTCCCACAGGCTCTCGAGAGCTCCTGCCCAGGGCCACCTCAGGCCGACTGGGACTCCAGTGGCCCACGGACCCAGCATTTTCCTTACAAAAGGACTGGTCTGAGCAAGTCCGCCACCTATCTGCTTGGAGCACTTCATAAAGAGGTGAGGATGCAGGGAGCCAGTGAGGGCCCAGGGCCAATCAAGAAGCTATTTCCTCAGCGATCTGAGCATTCTCGAGCAGATGTAATTAGGGAGTATTGAGAAGCAACAGCGCCAGGCACAGAGTCACCTACTTCAGAGGTGGACCCGAAGCCAGCAGGACAGTGACGCAATACTGACCACAAAGCACTCTGCCTGGGGTCACTTTACCCGCTTATCTCCAGACCTCCATTTCACAAGGGAAGATGAGACTCACTCCTATGCCTCAGGGTCTTTAAGAAGATTAAATGAAACTACACCTGAGCATGGGGCCCAGAGAGTCTACAATGGGTAAAGTGCTTGGCCTCGTCTCGGCTGACCTGGGGTTCGATCCCATGCACTCCAAATGGTCCCACAAGGCCTGCCAGGAGTGATCCCTGAGCACAGAGCCTGGTACATCCTGAGCACAGCTGGTGTGTCCCCCAAACAAAAAACTACCTAAATGGAAGACAGAATGAAGGATGATAAACCCTTGGCCTTGCCTTACACTCAGATGACCAAACGGGGGTATTGGAGGATCGAGGAGGTGGCAGAAGGACAGTGGTACAGGGTTCTGGGCTCTCTAGTGATGGCGGGGTGCAGTAGTTGTACATCACTACCCTAAATGGTAAGACTTCTGCAACCATGTGACCTAAACAACAATAACAAAAAGAATTCTAACACGATTATACCCAAGCCTTGGAGACAAGGTCCAGTTAGTACCTCTGGCCTCAAAACAGAGTTCGGGGGGTCGTTGGGCCGGGGGGAGAGAATCCCTCCCTCAATCCCACATTCCCTCACTTCTCTTGAGAGTCAAAGTTCTCCAGGAAACTCCAACATGAGCAGGAAACTGGTTTTGTTCCCCGACTCTCTGCATCCCCAGGGAATTCCCATGGCTGGTCCTCTGACGCCCGTTGTTTCCCTGCCACAGCATCTAACAGGACTTTCTTTTCTTCTTTTCTTTTTCCTAACAGGACTTTCTATCACTCAATTGTTTCTGTCCAAATACTGCAGAGTGGGCGCCTGTTTACTGTAACATACGAAACACAAGGCAGACGGATCACGGGGACTTAAATGCCACTTAATAACTCCAGTGTCAGATAGCGGGGCAAACAGAACAACACCCTGCCCATGTATTTGATGATGACGATGAAGGTGATGCTAGAGAGAAAGACAAAGTGGTGACACATGGAACGGAGGCGAGGATGCTGGTCATTTTAAATAGGGCAGGGCGTGGAGTGACATTTGCACACAGACGTGAATGAGAAAGCGACCTGTAGGGAAGGAAAATGCTTAGTGCGAAGGCTTAGGAGAGGACACATGAGGCCCACATCTGAGCAAAGCCAGGGTGCGGGAAGCCCAAAAAACAAAGAGAGTCAGGATGGGGTGAAGAAGGGTGTGCAAAAGATTATGTCAATTCTCCAAGCGCTTACCCTCTAAACTATCTCTGTGGTCCACTTTGTTTTGTTGTTGTTCACTAAGGACCTACCTTGGGACTTCCCAGTCTATTATATTTTTACTGCTGTCACAAGAATATGATGTTAAAAAAAAAAAAAAAGAAAGAAAGAAAAAACAATCCTGGAGCAATAGCACAAAGGGTAGGGCATTTGCCTGGCATGTTGCTGACCCGGGTTTGATTCCCAGCATCCCATATGGTCCCGCAAGCACCGCCAGGAATAATTCCTGAATGCAGAGCCAGGAGTAAGCCCTGAGCATCGCCGGGTGTGACCCCCCTCCCCCCAAAAAGCAAAACAAACAACAACAAAGAAAAATCCTAACAACTTCAAGGGACTTTTGGCAAGATGTCTCTGGGCTAAAATGCACACTTGGAAAGCAAAACACAAACCAGACAAAGAAAAGCCTTAAACCAAGCAGGCTCCAGGACACCAGCCACTCGCCAAACGCCACACGCGGGTTTCAAGGCGGTTTTTCTCCAGCTAGGTAGGGCAGAGGAGAGCCTGGAAGTGACCCCCCACCCCCCAATTTGGGGGACTAAAATGACCTTGGACTTGGGGAGCTGGCGAAAACTTGCAAGAAACAAAGCCAAACCCCAAACAAACAAAAACAGAGCTTCTCTTAAGAAGCTCCCTGCACAGGGTCTATTTCAAACCCGCCACATGCTTGAAATAAAAAATAAATAAATAAAATAAATTAAAAAAAAAGTGACTAACAAACTCGACAAGCGTGTCTTCAGACGGGGCTCAACGCCACGACAGGGCTTGACAGGGCATCCAGCCTGGGGTAGTCAGTGGCAACCAGTGTGGGTGAAAACGGGGGGTGGGGAGGTGGCGGGGGGCAACTTTAGCTGAGCTGCGCGGTAGAGAGGCGCCTGCCGAAGGTTGCGGGGCGCTCCCCGCCCCCTCCCGGCGCTCCCCGCGCCCCCTTACCTCCAATTTCTGCAATTCCCACACGCACAGCGGGACGGCCACCACGACGGCCAGCAGGTAGATGACCACGGCCAACGGCCGGATCCACTGTCGCCAGTTCCTCCAGGTGCAGGTGCACGGCATGGTGCGGCGAGGGCGGCGCCCGGGGGCGCTCGGGGGGCGCGCGGAGAGGCTCGGGGCGGCGGGCGCGGCTGGGCTCGGCCAGGGCACATGCTAGGCCGGGCCCGAGGCCGGGGCGCTGCTGCCAGGGGCCGGCGGCGCGGGCCGCATCCCGTCTCCTCCGGCCCCGCCGCCGGCTCACCTGGGCAGCGCCCGGGGCTGCACCTGCACCATGGCCTCGGGGCCGGCACCCGGGACGCGCCTGTCCTCCTCCTCCGCCGCCGCCGCCGCCTCCGCCCGGGCGCGCCTCTCGGCGGGACCGCGAGGATGGAGAAGCGACCGAGAGAACTCGAAGGTACCGGCCCCGAGGTTGCCTCACTCCCTCCCTCGGGACATCCCCGGCGGCGGAACCCCGGCCAAAGCGGGACTTCCGCTTCCGCCCCCGCCGCCCGCGGCTCGGGATTCGTGGACGGCGGCCAGGGGCCCCGCCCCATCCGGCCCGCTTCTCACTCTCCGATTGGCCATTTCCAGAAGGCGGGGATAGGGGGCGGGGCTAGAGGGCGGGGCTTGAGGCCGGGATCTTTTGGAAGGAGGTTGGTTTGATTGAGCCTGGTTCCCGGCGGGAGAGCATCTCGAGCTCGGTTGCAGGCAGCTGGCTGGGTTCACGAACCCCAGCGGTCCGCCCGGAGTCGTCCCTGATCGCAGCCCGGTGCGACTGAATGAATAGATAAATAAATAAACAAACAAACAAATAGAAGGGAAACGTGGAGAGAAATGGTTCGAATTGATGCCCGCGGACCCAGTCGCTTTTTTTTTTTGGGGGGGGGGGGCGTTCACACCTGGCGATGCTCAGGGGTTACTCCTGGCTTTGCACTCAGGAATTGCTCCTGGCGGTGCTCAGGGGACCATATGGGATGCTGGGAATTGAACCCGGGTGGGCCGCGTGCAAGGCAAACGCCCTACCCGCTGTGCTATCACTCTAGCTCCCCAGTCGTTCTTGAAGTTGTGGAAGTTGCAGGAAGTGAGAGCAGGTGAAGAGCATCCAGGACTTTCTTTTCTGCTTGCCCTCCAGCCTAAGAAAGCCCCGGTATAGGGCCCTTGCCAGCGGAACCATTTTCAGCACCAAGAGATTTGCGGTTCTCCTCTTGGAGGAGATACGGGAGGCAGCTGGATGAAAAATAACTGGAGAAAGAGAAACACACGCCAGCGTGATTATTTTGTTTTTCTATCAATTGCTAGATTCTAGAGGCAGGACTACTAGTTATTTTGGATTTTGCAGAGAGCTCATCCTAAGGAGAGCTTAATTTAAGAAGCGGCTGCAAACACTGAACATCCTCTTCACATTTGGGACTCGTGTTAAATACACACTTTAAATTTTAAAAGCTTGGTATTGCAACTAACGACTTTTATGGGCATTAAGGGCTTACCTAAACCTATAGAGTGACAAATAGGATATTTAGAGTTTTTCTTTGGGAGTGGGGTTTGGGCCACTTCCGGCTCTGGACTTGAAATTAGCCCCGATGGTGCCAGAGGACCCATGTAGTATGGGGATGGCACCCAAGCCTCTAGCATGCAAAGCCTGTGCTCAACCACTTAAGCTATTCTACCTGCCCAACACACAGAACCTCAAAAGCTTTCTAAACCAATAGCGAAAAAGGAAAAGAAAGGAGGGGTATCATCCTCTACGCCCTCTGACCCCCAAAGTTAGATACTCTCAATTAGATACTAAAATGTATCCTGTATTATCGCTGTCATTTCCTGAGGGATAGAAACTGTATGAAGTCCTTGAACTGCACTCTAGCATTGATAGCCACAAAAATCCTGAAAAGTGGGTAGGTTTCTATGCTACAGGTTCATGAGGTTAAGTAATTTGCCTGAGTTTATTGAGCTAGTTAGTGGTAGAACTGGAATTCTGGAAAGATCAATTGTTGACAGAAGCCCAGGAGAGGGTTTTAAGGGCCGTTAAAATATTCTGTCCATGCTCATAGAATGTACAGAATCAGGAAAAGCAAATCTTTAGGAGGGGCAGGAAAAATAGTAATGAGGTTAAGATACTAAAAGAAAGCAGACTTCATGAGTGCAATGGAATGATTCTTTGCCTTCAGTGAGTTTATGATTGTCCTGTGTTCTTGTAGTGATCAGATAACAAAAGTCTCTGTGTATTTGTATATGGGTATATGTACCTTCCTCCTTTTTTTATTTTTCTGCATTGGATGGTGATCAGGGCTAACTCCTGGCTCTATGCTCAGGGATCACTCTTGGAGATGTTTGGTAGTCTAAACATTGCCGGGACTGAACTGCAGTTGACTCTCTGGCTCTTAGGTTTGATCCTTGCCACGCCGTCAATGGTGTCGCCCGCGTAGCAACCTGCTAAGGTGACCTGGGCCTGGCCCAGGTCCCGCGGGAAAGGGAGGTTCGCGACCTTTGGGTCTATGCCTCCGGCGCCCCCTTTTTCTTATCCTGCTTTGTGTGCTTCTGTGGCACTTTGGTATGTGGCTCTTCTGCATCCCGGATGGAGTTTATAATGGTTGCCTGCCAATTTTACTTATAAGTTAGGTATTTAGAATTAATAGGTAGAAGCTTTGTAGTTATAGTTTGCTTTTAATCATTGTGAAATCTGTAGGAAACTAAGGAGATGTTAGGTTTGACAAAGGTCAGGAGTCATAAGTGAAACCAAACAATAACAGGAGCCAGAAAAACCGCCAAATATTGTGGCTGAAACAATTAGATCCTTAGCATACAGTACAGCCCTCAATTTCAAGCAAGGGTGCCTAACATAAAAGAAAACAATAAGCTACCATATGAGAGAATGAGGGACATTGTGAAACCTCTATCCCCCCATACAAAAACTGATTCAAGCACATACACCCTGGAGTTTATTAACAGAAAAACAAAGTGTTGCAAACCAATATATGGGAAGGTCCAAGACCCTTCCTGGATTGTGATGTGTGGTTAAGACCCTGTCAGATGAAAACAAAAGTTGCTGAAGAAAAACAATGATAAAGAACTCTGTAGAAAGGGGAACCATGGTTAGACATTAAATCCTGTGTAATCACTGTAAAGAATTCATAGGTAAATGTTTTGTCCTAATTTGAAGCAGGAAGTGTATTAAGAAAGTGTTTTTGTCCCTCGATATTTTTTGGAATATGTCACCAATAAGTGACCACGATATGATGTAATGTCCGATTGTATTCTGGCCCTTTGTTCTATGATTTTGCCTTGACTGTATAAAAAAGGAACTCTGTGCTCAGTAAAATCGCAGCAGCACTCAACCTCACTTGTGTTGGTGTCTGTCTGTCATCGCCGAATCTCCTGCTTTCCTGTAAACCTTCTCCCACGTCCCTCAGCCTGGTGGTTCCCGACCGAGCCAGTCTGCGGCAGATCCTGTACGAGATACCCTGTGATTGTGCTAATCATAACTGCAGATTGGAGCTTTGTAGGTTGGAATGTGGGAAAGGAATGAGCAGCTTGACAGTGGGGACAATTGTGTAATGAGTCATTTTTTTTCTCTTTCCCTCAGACAGGGAGAAAGAGTGGTCTGCTGACTGCCTTGTATCACAGGAAAACGAAAAGCAGGAAAAGACTCTCCCCCATGTGTGAGTGTAGCCTGTTTCCAATTAACCTGCCATAGCTCTTGGCTATGTGCTATAGGCCTGGGACTCTCTCTGCCCATGAAAGCATTTGATGTTTTCTTTCACTCTGTTCTTCGCAGTGTGTTGCTTGGGGCCAGAGAGATAGGACAGTAGGTAGGACTCTTGCCTTGCACGCAACTCACCTGGGATTGATCCCCAGCATCCCATATTATCCCCCAGACTGATTCTAGAAGTGATTCCTGAGTGCAGACCCAAGAGTGAGCCCTGAGCATTGCTGGGTGTGGCAAACCCCCCCCCCCCCAAACCAAAATAAACCAAAACAAAAAGCCCCAAACCGGTGTGTGGCTTGAAGGAGGACTTTAAAGTGCTCTGGTTTCTTTCTGGAAAGGTACTAGATACTCTTGAGCCACCACTGTGGTTATGAGTGCAGCTCTGGTGAGGGCTGTGACAGTTTGTATAGTAAATAATAAATGACTTTTCTATTCATTTTTACCCATGAGCAAAGTTTCCGGTAGCCCCATCTGGCAGCAAAGTTTGATTCCTATTATCTTGTGTGATGCTTTATTTTCAGATTGATTTAGATGATAATCTTGTTCTATCAGATAACAAAGAAAAAGAAAGGCGGAAAAAAAACCTTAAACATATTCTTGTTTTGTTTTTCTCAGGTCATGCCCAGGGGTTCTCAGGGCTTACTCTGGGCTCAGAGCTCAGGGATCACTCCTGGTGGGGCTCAGGGAACCATATGGGGGTCAAATCTGGTCTGTTGCATGCACTCTATCCACTACTCCTGCCTCTGAAATTTAAAAAACATAAGAAAACAGCACAAACTAATCAATGAGATAGAAAGAAATTCTCTGTGTGTGTGTGGGTGGGGGGGCACACCAGGCGATACTCAAGGCTTATTCCTGGTTCTTGTTCAGGAATTCAGGGACCATATGGGATGCCAGGGATTCAAGCCGGGTCAGCCATATACAAGGCAAATGCCCTACTGGCTGTACTATTGCTCCAGCGCATGGAAAATATTCTTAAAACATTCTCCCCTCCCACCCCCCACCCCCGCGGTCTGACACTCAGCAGTTCTCAGGGGCCTCTCCTAGCAGTCTTTGGGGGAGCAATGTGATCTTGAGTTTGAACCCAGGTCTTCTGCATGCCAAGCATGTACTCCAGTCCAGGCAAATAATTTTGTTTCACTTATTTATTATATATATTAAACATTTATTTATTTTATACTTCTCTGTTGATTTGGGTTTTGAGCACCACCCAGCTTACTCCTGACTTTTGCATTAGGGGATCAGCCCTAGAAGGCTATTGGTGCTGGGATTTGAATCCAGGACAGTAATTTTATAGGAAGACAGATTTTTATGAATTAGATAGAAAATCAATGTCACTTATTTTGTGATTTCTTGGAAAGAAGACAGGACCAGATATGAGAAGGGAAAATTCAGGGAAGAAATGAAGCCTGGAGAAAAGATTCTTCTTTCAATGGGAGGGGCTATCTCCTCTGAGCGTCACACCCAGCAATGCTCAGGGCTTACTCCTGGCTCTGCATTCAGGAATCCCTCCTGGCCAGTGGTTGGGGGACCATATGGGATGCGGAGGATTGAGCCTTCGTCAACTTCATGCAAGGCAGACGCTCTAGTATGCTGTAGTATGGCTCCGGGTCTGCCCTCTATAGTTTTACCTGAGGTGTGGTGGTCAAAATGGACTCTCTCAGCCCCCAATTCTAAAAGAGCATTGTGCAAAGAGTCCATCAGGCTTGGAGCACCATCAGCTTAAATAGTTTCTTTATGATGTAGACAAAGAACCGTTATTTTGTCCCTATAATGTACATCCT